TCATGTGATGGGTGATCAGGAGGACAGTGGCTGTCCACCGCATAATACACTTTACAGAAGAGATTTTCATCAAAAATCTCGAGGGAGGGAGGAATCTGTGAAAAGCAGTAATAGTTTAGAGGGAGTTGTGATGACAGGGCTAACATAATTCAAGCAAGGCTGACGTCTTCTCCGCTTGCCGCAAATTATTTTCCTCTCCCTTTAAAATGTGATTTCCCCTTAAGTTTACTATCCACCCCCCCAAAAAAAGTTCTCGGATTAATACATTATTGGGAGTTCAGCATGTCTTTTTAAGTAAAAATTCATTTATAATAGTTACCACATTATCAACAAGGTACAACGGGTGTGAGCTAATTTGGTCGTACTGGCTTTTGATACCTGCCCCAAAGCACGGCCCCATTTCCTACTTTGGAATGGAGGGGAGGAAGATCAAGGGAAACAGAAGCACGTGGCTGGCCCGGATAAGGGGGTGCCAAAGGGCAGTTTAGGGTCTGGTGAGAGCATAGGCGCCTGAAGGGACACAGGTAACGAATGCAGGAGAGCAGAAAGGAAGGTGCAAAATCCCAGAGACAAACCTCTATTCGAGAATAATTTGGCTTGAAACATCTGTGGATCAAGAGGAGTGGGGTGAAAAAATTCTTCGTCCTCATGGGCTCAAATGGCCCCCACACGTGGGCAATCATTACCGATCCAGCCATCTCGTGGGCTACAGGTCATTGCAAAATAGGTTATCCCAAACCAGCTTCAGTTTCTTACCGTCAAGTCCGACAGAAGCGTTTCGGAAGATGCACCATTCATCCCACCGTGCACGCCCCCAGGGGCGTGCACACCCCGGTTTGAGTTGTGCACCACCAGATGTGCTGGACCCACGGGGGGAAGGCTGGCTGGCTTCAGAACCAGGAATACCTGTGCTGTCTGTGACGGGTGCCGTGCCTCACGGATGGGATGCTCGGTCCTTGCACCGGCTGCTAGGAAGCTGAGTCCTGTCGAGGCCAGCTCCAGAAAAGCAAGCCGTGGATTATGGTGTTTATGAAATGTTTTCTGGATCCCAAGCTGCTGCTTCTTTTTCCTACCCTTTCAGTATTTACCATCCCCCTTGTCCTCTCCCACATTAAGGAAAACATTGCAAGCCACCTTAATTTCCTTTTTGTAACGCAGCAGGGCAGAAATAATAAATATGCATACTGACATTTGCTTGGGAACCCAGAATGTAAATTCAAGGCACCAGCTCTTTATTCTGGTTAGACATCAGATCACAATTAAATCTTCCTCAAATTCTCTGTCGTCCTGGTAACTGCTCTCTACTTAGAACATGAGGGCGAAATTACCCAAAAGGGTCTGGAAGGGTGTAGCAAGAGCTTATTAAGGAATTCTGATGTCGAGAACCACACAACAAGCTGCGCCAGCAGGGTAGCGTGGAGTTGGAGAGAGGCCCTCCTTCAGGTTATCGCAATTGCCGGGATGTATTTGGGCTTTGCTGCCGTTAAGTAGTTATGTACATTATAATAACAAGATTGGCTATGGCACACCAAAAATATTGACAATGAATAGTATTTTGGATAATCACAGATTGCAAATCCTCTTAAACGCATTCAACTCTAACAGATATATTTAGACTTAGATGAACAGTAGCTGGAGGAATTTCTTCAAGTGTCAGTTGGTGTGAATGAATAAAGATGGTTTTCGAGGAGCCATATTGCTTGGGGATTAAGGCCAACTGGAACAATTCACTTAAAAAAAAAAAAAAAGCCTCCAAGCTCAAGAGAGCAGCTTCCCCTTTATTCAATTGAGGCGCACAGACTTCAGTCCTTAAGACTGGTGTTGGCAGCCCAGCCCCTACCGTGTCGGTTCAGCTCTCTCCGTTTGTCTAAAGAAGAGTTTTTAATTGTGCATCCACGGGAACTTGCAAATCCTGTGAGACAATGTTTGTAGCGGCGACGAGGAAAACAAAATTTAAGTAGCAGTCATTTTTATTTTGGCTTAACAGATTTGAGCAGGAAGACGCTGAATATGAATCGGCTTCATTTTTAAATCCTGAAGACAATTTCTGAAGCAGCCCAGAAGGTGCCACTTTAGTCTTGAGGCAATTAAAAAAAGCCTAGAATAGCAAGAAAGAAAATCACACAGTTTGTTTGGACATTGCAGGGGGAGAAAGTTACAAATTCTATTAACTCCATTCCTTCATCCCCCCGCCCACCTGTTTGCTTTTGTGACCCGACAGAAGACCCTTCCTGGTTTTCAGAGGTGGGGATGGGACAGGAGGCATGGTGCGAATAGTAAGAAAAGTTTTTAATATTTAAGATATTGCTTGTCACGTTTTAACTGCAATGATGTGAAGTGTGTGACGAGCTTTGAGAAAAAGGGTGGCACAGACGTTCCCCCCATAGGTGAGTGAGTCTTCTTAAGAATTGATTCCTTCTTTGATAATTTGGGCATCACTAAAAAAAAAAAAAAAAAAAAAAAAAAAAAGTAAATACTTATTAGAACTAACTTCTCCTCTCTAGGTCTTTTTTTTTTTTTTTCTTTCCTGGTCCTTAATAAGGACCCCTGGAAAAGGCATCTTCAAACTTAAATTCTTTATGATACTGAATGACCGGGAAACCATTAGAAATGTAGTTTCTGGAAGTGGCATATCAACAGAGGGTCCCTGGCCACTTGGATTTCCTGCAGGGACCACCTTTAGAGTGGCCTTCACTATATTCTTGTAGCCTGTAAGCTACTTAGTGATGAACAGAGCTAATTATTCTAACACCAGACCGTATCCGTATAGTAGCTGTTCGCAAGGTGGAAAATCACACTTTTTTCATGGCTTCTTTTCTTTTAAAACGTAGGCCCTTTTCCCATCCTTGATGCGTTCTGTATATACAAAATAAATACTCTTCGCAGCAGGATCTGGACTCAGAGGCCTCAAAACCCAATAGACGAGTCCTGTAGTTTAATGGTCCTTAAATGCTCAACATCTTTTTCACTTAATGTAAAATCCATCTGATCTAATAGCCGTGACTGAATTATAGATATATAATTTTTTTTCTATTAAATGTTAATCTTCTGACTTGGCAGAGCAATAGAAGCTCTAAATTATTAAGAAGGCAATAACCTCTCTAAACTCTTTCCTGAATTCAGAATATTCCCAGGACTGCTATCTTGAGAAATAAATTGCAAAGCTGTTTAAAATATAAAAATCAGGCCCATTCAGTGTAACAATTTGATGCCAAATACCAATTATAATGGGCATTATTTTTATGGCTGTCTCTTCTAGTATTTCACAGAGAGTACATACATACACACACACACACACACACACACACACACACACACACCCCTGGGGGAGCGACCCTCACAAGCCTTGGCTCTTTTTCATTTACATATGACATTTTTGTAACCTTCCCTTTTTGGTTGAATTCATTCATCATCGATGTTTGTTCACACAGGCATAAATAATGAAAATGCCCTCTGATGCATAAGTGATGCCACATGGCCAACTATGCTAACCACGAGTGCTCTCAGTGCCCGGGGATCTTCCCGGGAACGCCACCTCTGTTGCATTTTTTGTTTTTAATCTCTAAGTCAAGACTCTTATGAGGCAAAGGCCCCTACGTGGAGGTAAGAATCAGGCCGTGCTAAGAAGCAGGTTAGGATTTCCCAAGAGAGGTCCGGCCCAGGCAGTCTTGGTTCAAGTAGCCAAGCCCCGGACGTGAAAGAGAATTTCCAACAACAAAGTGTCAGATGCAGTTTAGCTGGGGGTATCACTGAAGGCGATGGGCGCTGAGATGCCCATTTTCCATTCCGTGTTTCGTACGTGATACATTTTATGGGGCCTTTTCTTCCCCCCTTCTGAAACGTAGTCATTGCCGCACCTCTCTCACAGAGCATTGAGCAGTCAGGAGGCAGGCCCAGGCTCTTGTTTCTCTGGCAGGCATGTGCGACCATATTTCTGCATGTTCATCACAGGCAATTCTCTTTCAATCCTCATCTTGGTGCCAGAGGTACAGCCATTGCTCTGATGCACAGAACTTGTGAGAAAAGATCACACGAGGTTGCAGAGTCCGGTGATGAGGCAGGTCAAGAGGTAGTAAGAAGTTTTCTTCCCCTGTGGGGAAGCAGGTGTCGGGACGCTTGTAACCAATGCTAAGGTTGCCCGTGCGAGCAGGCACCGATACACCTAGTCATCACAGACACCAGAAATTTACTTGAAACTCTTCCCTTTTCTACTCCGAAACAAGCAAACCAAGAACATGAACCATTCCGGTGGGTTCCGAAGCTGCAACATTTTCAAAGCAGCAATGATCCAATGCATAAGAGAGACTTTTACACCATGTAACGTTCGGTTAGGGTCGAGAGCAGTCTAAATCAGTAAGCCTTCAGAAAGATTAAGCTACATTCATCTGGGGTTTTAGAACAGCGCAGATATGGCTAGTGAATACAGTCACTGCAATATTAAATTTTAAGAGGCTCGTTGAATGAATATTCAATTTTAGTAGTTGTTTATAACACTGACCTTCTAGCCAAAAGAATGAGCTTTCCTGAGGAAGCAGGAATGATAAGAATAAAACTGAACAGGGGAAGAGTAATAAAGCTTTCAACAAAGGAACATACCCCGACAGGGATTTGGTGAGTCTCCCAGAAAGCACGCCCATCTTGGACACAACCGATCTTTCTCCCTCTCGCTTCTTAAGTTCAGATGTTATCGTTTTTCTGAACACAGACCGGCAGAGAGGCCGGCATTGCCCACTATATATATTCCATTTGTTTACTCTCTAAAAAGCTTTAACCTTCAGTGTTGTAAATGCAGTCTCTGCCTTTGATATCAAAAAGTGGGTGAAGGAGACAACGGGATTAATTCAGGGAGGCGACCTACTACTCCGCCCTCCACGGAGGACTGAAAATGGGTAACACCTGTCTGTACTTGGACCCCATCGTTCTCTACACCAAATTCCCCAAAGCGGCACATGGAGTAATTGGCCTCGTAGATCTTTTACGAGGATGTTCAAAAACAGTAGTCCACAGAAAACATTTTATTTGTGATTGAAGACAAAATAAAGTACACACAAGTTTCCCCTCCCACTTCTAATAAGGAAAATACAAGACGAAAATGTGAGTATTCAGTAAGGACTTTCTCTCCTCTACAGCTTCAAAGGAGACCTACATAAAACTCATGGAACAGACTTCATGCAGAAGGACAACATTAAGCATAAAACCAAGGAATTTGAGTACTGCTCGTGTAAACTGTGTATAACTAAAGAATTAAAAAGAAATCCAATTCTGACTTTTCACTGTGGTTTCTACACTGAAGAAATCTGATGGCTTCTGGTGGGAGAAGCTATTCGGATGGCTCTTTGTCCTTGTTATTATTTACAGAATTGGGCTAAAAAGTCTGGCTCAGGGAGCACCTTACTGGTTCAGTCGGTGGAGTACACAACTCTTGACCTTGGGGTCATGAGTTCAAGCCCCACGTTGGGCACAGAGATTACTTAAAAAAAAAATTCCAAAAAATAAGAAATCTTTCAAATCTTTCAGGATGCTCAAAGATTACTGCTAAGGCACACTTTGCGATTGAAAGAAAATCTGGCTGAAAGGATTCATTTGTTCAGTTTATTTGCTAACAGTCAAGTTAGTAATCTTCAATCTGGATGGAAAACAAAATATTAATAAAAACAACAAAACATATAAACTTTCCTTAATGAGATGTGGTTAATAAAAATGGTTGGTTACAATAAAGTGTTCACTAAAACGTGGCCAATTTTATTTTTTCCTTGTGATCTATATTCTCACAGTTTACTATATTATTGCACTTTCATCTGAAACCTTAAAAATCTGTTTTCTAAAATTAGTTCTCTAATTTTGCAAGAAAACTGCATTTCACATTATTAATTTCATTAGTGCAATTTTCCTATAAATAAGTGCAAAACATTTGGAGGATGCATGTATAATGAGTGTTTGGTTACTATAGTAGCAAATGTCAAAGTAATTGCTAAAAAAAAAAAAAAAGCCTAAGAATTTTGATACTTTGAAAAATCTAGGATACCAGCTATCATAGCTCTCTAGATACTGTGGCAAGAAAAAAAATCACCACAAGTAAAAAATTAAGATACTGTTGTGGATATTATGAGGCCATCGTATTAGAAATTCCTGATATGTTCTATGCTGGTCTGCTTTTAATCTAAACGTAATTTAGTACAGTACACCATTTATGAAAAGAAATGTATTGAAAGAGGCATAAAAGTTAGAAGAAAAAAATCTGTGCCTCCAAAAGAAGTCAAAGGCACTCATTAGGTTACTTCAATAAAAAATGCAACTCGGCCAGCCAAGTTATGGTGCATATTCCTTAAAATCACGTCAGGCTCTCGTGGCTCAGCTGAAGGCCTGAAAGATCTTTTGATCCACTTAACCAAATTAATTTCTCTGAAAGAAACCTTTAAACAATTATTTCAGCCTAACGCCTCTTCGTATGGACCTACACAGATGGCTTATGTTTTATTATTAGGGACTCAACGGCTTAAAAATACATAGCCAACCCGAGGCAAAGTGTTACATTGTTTGCCTCACCATAAAATTAACATATATAGATTATAAGATCTGAATTGCTATTGAAAAACTCAGTAACATCCCCATCTAATTAAAAAAAAAAAAAAACTTGCTGATGAAACAAAATATATTTTATTTCAATGATACTAGCACAAAAGGGCCCAGAAAGGCTGTGGGTTTGCACACGGAAGGCTCGGCACCAGCAGCTGAAGCACAGGCTGCTTAGTTAGCACACAAGCCCCTGCCGCATTTGTATGATTTGGAGTAAGGCCGCCTGCACATCTTCGTCCATGTGACCCTTGAGAGAAAGAAGAAAGGGAGAAATATTTTACGTCCTCTTCAATGACACAAGAATTCTATTTAGGCCTAAATGGCTGTGATTCACCAAATGCTAAAGCCTCATCATTGCAGAGATATTCTAAAGGATTTATTGGAAAAGACAGCAGAGCTCTGCGACGGAAATTTAAAAAGTCAATCTAAAAGCAGTGCAAACCAGCTGCTCTTAACACTTATTATCAGAAGACAGATGGACAAACTTTTCTCCTTCTCTCTTTTTTAATAATGGCTCAGATAATAGGGGCGGCGTAAGTCATAAGTGAGCGAAGTCAGCTACACGTTAAGTTTTCCTTCTGCTCCTGCTGAGAAACATTTTTGTAATTAGAAAAATTAATGGAAAAGCCCCCAAACTTATATTTTTATCCTAGGGAAGATCACATCATTTTGCAACTTGCCATTTCACCTAATGTCACGGATGTCTTTCCTAAGCTATTTCCCTAATTGTTTTAAGTTACTGGATACCATCGCACCGTACAGATGAATCGTACTTTCTTTACTCGTTCCCCCAAACGACGGGCGTTTAAGGTGTTTCCCATCTTCATGGGCAGATTCCTAGAGAAGAAACTGCTGGGTCAAAAAGCAAGGCTCCATTGCTAATTTTGCAAAGCACTACAAAACTTCCCTCTACGGGCATTGTAACAAGTTACACTCCCACCAACAGGGTATAAATGCCAATTTCCCACAACACCTTGGCCAATGCTGCAGGTGCTCATCTTGTTTAATATTTGCCAATCCCATAGGTGAAAAAATGGTCCCTCCCTGTTTATTTGGATTTCCCCCATTACCAATGAGGTGAAGATCCTTTTCCGTGAATGTTAGTCATCTATATTTAGGAAGAAACATTTTGAACTTAAAAAGATGGCAAGGGGCAGATTAAATGCGAGTCAGTATGGTGGGCTTACGACACCCTCGGCCCCCTTCTCTTTGCTTGGACATTTGAATAGAATTCAGCTTAACACTTCCCATTCATATAAAAAGTTGTGCTTCCAAAACCTGTTTCTGTAAGAATGGGATGTTGAAATTTCAAACATTAGCCATGGCTGACTACACTGAATTTCTTGGTTAACTTCATGATGCCGGAAGGCAAGACAATTTCTGATGTCAGTTGTTTTTGTTATGTTTCATTAGGAGTCAGTAGGATTTCAACTTTTGGAAGCATACATTATACAGAGTTGAAAGGCTTGACAGTTTGTGGTGTCTTTCCTGCTCTTTCTCTCCTGGCTGAGATCAGATCTGAATGAGTTCTTTATCCACATCTTCCACACTTGTCTACCATTTCCCTCCTAAAGGTCCCACTCTGCTGTCCCTCAATGGTCTTCTCGAACAATTTCAATATACAGCTACCCTTGAACAACACGAGTTTGAACCGTGGGGGTCCACTTACACAAAGATCTTTTATTTGGATTAATACCGTACAGTACTATAAATGTATTTTCTCTTTCCTTGATTTTCTTAGTAACACTGTCTTTCCTCGAGCTTCTTATTGTAACACTACAGTATTTAGTAAACATAACATCCCAAATACATGTGAATTGACTCTTTATATTACTGGTGAGGCTTCCTCACAATAGATAGCCTACATGAGTAGTCAAGTTTTGGGGGAATCGAAAGTTACACACAGATTTTTGACTGCAGGGTCAGCGCCCCTACGTCCCACTGTTCAAGGGTCAGCTGTACTTTCAAATCCCAGCTTATCTTCTAGCTCCTCAAAAGAAAGTAGCCAAACTTCCTCTTATCATACCATTCATGCTTTTACATTTGTTTCCCCTCATCTCCTATAGAAAAGGAAGGCTTTTTGGTTTTGCGAATTTGATGTTTCTTCTTTTTATTATTTTACCTAGTTCTTCTTATTAAAAAACGACCTTCTTGGAAGCTTTCTCGCAACAACTCCCCGCCCCCCCCACCCCGCCTTTTTTGGTAAACAGTGTCGCCTGATACTTCAAATCCTGAACAATTCCTGATGTATCTCACCTGCCATTCTAACGTTGCCTCTTTTAGGACATCTTCCTGAAAAATCTACTCTGAGAATTTTAGAGATCGCTGATCACAGGGTTTCTACAGGGCATTAAGTATGGTATTCTTCACATGCTGAACAGTTTCTCAGTGCGATATATTCTTCTAAAAGAGGAGCCTTTTCATTACACCCCCCAAAAAGGGAATTCTTAATCTGATGTTTCACTGAATTTAAGCCACATTAAATAAATACTATTGATAATCTCCAAACAGAACCAGTTTATTTTCTTACCTTATTACAATTTTGCGCACACCTTGTCATCTTTGCGCTTTTATAGCATTCTCTACGTTTCAAAGAAATACTCCTGAGCTACCAAGAAACAGTGAAGTCCTTTGCACTCTCTTTAGCTGACAGCCAGGTATGGATGTCAAGGCATTATCTCCAGCTAGCAATACCATTAACATGTGCTGCCATCATATGTTGCCAAACTGTCTATAAAATGAGTGACAAGCAGATGGAGAGAACACTACATTTAAGATGTTGTGTTACCATATAGCTTTGTAAATTTCTCTGGGAGATACACAAGCCATGATTTAAAAAAACACAATGATTTTAAAATAAGCATATGGGATACAACTACTTTACACAGCAATGACTTTCACATAAATTTACTTGAAAATAAAAAAATGATCTTCTCTAAAACGGGGATGAAGGAGTGCACGTGTTGTGTTGAGCACTGGGTGATATATGAAATTGGTGAATCGCTGTATTGTACAGCTGAAACTAACATAACACTGTATGTTGACGATATTGGAATCAAAAAAATAGAAGCATTTTTATAAAGAAAATTAAAAAATAAAATGGTATCTCTGCCAGAGGAGAAATCGTTTTTTACCTGCGCAGCACTAAGGAGATGTGTCCGATAAATTGCAATTACCTCTTGGTGCTGTCTGTCGGCATCCTAGAAATGTGGAAAGATGGACAGATCAGAGTATCAGCATTCACGTTTTCAAATACACGGAGGCTTGTGACAATGCCACCTTCAGGCCTGACACTACAAAACGGCAATATTATTAAAGTGCTCCTGCCACGTCTTCTAACAAACCACCTGGGACCCACCGGATGCAAAACTTCACAGCATTAACAATCGTTTAAACTTTCCTAATCAATGTGTGGAAACATTCATAGCGAAAACAATGCCGCTTGTCCTAGGTAACATGAAATGACTGCCTTAGTTCACATCTAATGCCACGAAATTATCCAGATACTTAACAGTTTATCCTTGGGATTATTGCAAAAGCTTCCAATCTTGTCTCCCTGTCTCTAGATTTTATTCCCGATCATGCTTCCAAGATGAAGGCAGCTCTTTTCTGGAATCACTTCTGGTTCAAAGACCTTGGGAGAAACCTCATTACATATAAAAGAGAATCTAAACTCCTCAAACTTCTCCACAGCCTGGACAATCTAGCCACAAATACAGTTTCCACTCCCAGCCAGGCTGATCAGCTTTTACCGCCCCTGGGGTACACCGTTCACATTCGACCCCCACGCCCTTCTTCAAACTACTTCCCTTGCCTGGAAGATTCTCTATTTTCCATTCACCTACCAAAACGCCAACTATCTTACAAGTTCCAGCCAGCTATTCCCTTCCTCTCGGCCTAGCTCCTATCGCACCAGTGATCTTTCCCTCCTATGAATTCATATCACTTATAGCCGGGGACCTTATTCTCAACTCTGTATATGACATTTTTTGTCTTGTTAATTCACTTTTCATGGATCTAAATTTTGCTTCTCTAATTACCTAGAACTCCTTGGGACAAAACCTGTGTACTCTCTTTATCCCTGACAGTGTTTTAGCACAGTGTCATGAATATAATAAATAAGAAACAAATATTTCCAATTATTGAAGGGACTACCAGATCCTTTTGATAGGATCCAAATCAATAATCTGTCATCATTAATCTGTAGGCCAGTAGTATTAATAAACAAACACTTACAAAAAGAGCTTTCTTCTATTCAAAAACAACTCATAACCAATTCCTATAAAATAGGAAATTTTTAGTAACAATTTACATTTGACTGGGCTGTTTTACTTAGCATCTCCGTGTATGTCATATTACCTCGTTTGATTAAAAAAGCAAACAAAGAAGTAATCAGTTCTTACTATTGCACTATATGGATAAGGTAGCCAAGGATTAGGGGGAATGTTCCACGTCACCTGGTTTTTAAGCAGTAGTGTTTAGAACTGAGCTCCCGTGTTCAGTTTCTCAATCCAGTTGCTTTCCTTTTTTTTTTTTTTTTTTTTTTAATATTTATATATTTGGGGGAAAGCACAAGCGGGGGAGGGACAGAGAGAAGGGGACAGAGGATCTGAAGCGGGCTCTGTTCTGACAGGCTGACAGCAGAGAGCCCAAGGTGGGGCTTGAACTCACAAACTGCAAGATCATGAGCTGGGCTGAAGTAGGACGCTCAACCCACTGAGCCACCCAGGCGCCCCAGTTGCTTTCTTTAATATAGAAAGGAAATACATATATGCATATAGGATACGTATGTGGATATATATATTTCCAGGTGTTTTCTTTTACTATATAAGGATATAAGGTATAAAACCAGAGGGATGCCTACCTTTATTCATAAGTAGAAAATATTTTAAAAACTTCCCTTAGTTTAGCGGACCGATATTTTAAAGAGTGTGCTGCAGCTGGGAAGACACCACCAGAGCTGGAGTTAGCCAGTCTCAGGATCGAATCCTAGCTGTATGTCCCCAAGCATCAAGTATTTTCTTCTTTGTTTCCTTAAGAATCAAATGGGGGGGGGGGGGCGTGGGGGGAATAAAACCTTACAGGGCCGTGATGAAGATAAAGGCTAAAGGACGTAAAACGTTTAGTGTAGTGCCTGGCATATAGTAGGCACCAAATATACCGCTGCCACTGGCGTAAGTAACTTCTGGCAAAAATGATTCAGTTCCTGGATCTCAGCACAGCCACGAATCAATCCCGGCTCTACATAAACTTTCACAAGCAAACGAACACGACCCCGCGCGTACAGGATGAAGCCCTCCCAGGCCAGGGTACTCACAGCCAGCTGCTGCTGCAGGGCCTTTACTTGGCTCTGTAGGCTGTCAATCAGCTGGCTCTGTCTCCTGCCGGGGCTCCCACTCGGGTAGGTGAGCTGTGAAAGGCCACTGAGCGCCTGCTTCAGTCTTTCCACGTCATTAAGCAGTTCGGTTATCTTGTAAACAAAGAGAAAAGGTATGGGAGAAACATATATTATTCACTTATGCGATTCTAATGAACATCTTTACACCAAAATCACTCCGCGAGGAACCAAATTTATCTTCGTACACCAGAAAATTGAGGAATGAATACTGTCGAGATTGTTATCAACAGTAAATACAATACATAATTTAATTGCGTTAAATTCCTCTCAGTAAATTCCTTGCAAAAGCATTACCAAGTTGAGAATAAATATATATCCTAAGGTCTGAGTGTGACCTCAGTCTTCTTATTCTTAATATTTAAGTACCTATGAAAGTCTACAGATCACCTTCTAGGCTCTCTGAAACACAGGAACTTGTGGGGCATTCCCTCCAACAAAGTTTGAAAAGAAAGTGCGGCTCATACAAGCCTAGCATGAACTTATGTGCCTTGTTCATTTCAAGAAGGTAGGATTTTAGACTACTTTATCTTAAAGAGGGAAAAAAAATCAGGAGGCCGTTTAGCAGAGAGAGCAAAACCTTTTTATTTCAAGTCAGACTGATCTGGTATTTATTAGCTGTGTGAGCTTGGCTAATTTCCTTTATTTTTATGAGCTTTAGTTCCCTTATCAGTGAAAGAAAGAAGTTCTTTAACAGTTAAGAAAATCAAATGCAGTGTGGCTAGGGGGCCCAGTCGGTTGAGCGACCGACTCTTCATTTCGGCTTGAATCATGATCTCACAGTTCGTGAGTTCGAGCCCCGTGTCAGGCTCTGTGCCAACAGTGTGGATCCTGCTTTGGATCCTCTCCCGCTCTCTCTGCCCCTCCCCTGCTCACACTCATGCTCTCTCTCTCAAAATAAATAAACAAACACTTCAAAAACTCAAACGCGATCATAAATATCTGCCTGGTACGTAGTATATCCTCAATAAATGACAATAATTGTAAGTAGTTATTAATAACTTGCTATTATAATTATACACTGTTCTATCCCTAACTACCTTCTGAACAAGGTGCGAGCATTTAAGTTCTGGGTCACACGAACAGATGGATCAGAAGGCTAGTACTTGTACTTCTCCACTGAGGAGGGCCAGGGATGTGTATTTGCCACTGTATCCCCAGAACTTGGCATAGAGAAGACATTTAATCATCGCTCACTGAACTGATAAAAATGCACCCAATCTCCCTGATTTCTCATCCTCACAGTACACACTTTATTATGTCAACCACCAGTTTCGAAAATATTGAAAGCATCTACTGTGTAAACTGTACCATGGGAATGAATGAGAAGAAAAGGTTAAGTTGCAAACAGTCTGATCTTAATAGCTGGTTGAGAAGATCGAGCACCTAACTCTGACACAGTAATATTTACGTTTTGAATAGTGGCAACGCTAACATTTCAGAAGAGGAACAGTTCACGGGAGGCTAGAGTGCATAGCGAAGGCTTCAGGAAGGAGGGTAAGTGTTGAAGTGGGCGTTAAGGAACGCGTAGGACTTAACTCGGTAGAAAGGAGAGGCAGGACATTCTGGGTGCGGAGACCAGTCTGCGGGAAGTTATGAGGACAAAATGTACACGGAACTGGAGGGCTCAGTCACTGGTGTGGGTGAATGCCAAGATCAAGTCTGGGGTGCTTCCCAGTGTCCTTTGTTTCTTGCAGCCTGGAAACACAGCTTTCTTCCTCCTCTCCCTCAATCACCCTTCAGGTAACCCTAAAACCCACTGGACTCTGACCACTTTTGAGGCAAGTGAACCTGGAGTCTCCTCATCTTTCCTCAATTCTTGGCTATGCCAGTTGAGGAAACCAGAGGAGAAATGCTTTTGCTTGTGTGACTTTAACTATTTTCTCAATTCTGAATTTTTTTGCACACCAGTAGACTAACCGGAGAGGTGGCATTTAGTGGTCCCGCAGCTAATGCTTCTGGAAACCTGTCTTGTGGGATGCTGCGGTAAAGGGGCCCTATTCCACTCGGGCAGTTCCGCTCGGGGGCTCCTGACACAAAGCTGTGCCGCCTGCTCGGTGCCTACCTTATTATCTTTCGCTTCAATTTGTTTGGCAGATTCCTGTATTCTTTTCTGTAACTCTGTGATTGTTGTTAAGGACTTATCACACCGTTCCTGCTGGTCCTTGATTTCTTGCTCAATGCTGAAATGGAGCAATTCCTTCTCATCCTTTGCAGACAGCTGCTTCCTTTGGGCGTGCAAAACCTCCTCACAGGCTTCTTCGTACTTTCTATTCAGATTGGCCAATTTTTCATTCAAGTTGGAAATCTGGGTCTCCAAATCACTTTTTGTTGCTTTATATTTAGACAAATCAACCACCTCTCTCGTCTCTAATTTTTTTAATGCTCGTTTAGTGTTCTGCACCTCGGATTGGAGTTTGGAGACCTCTTGGGTTTTGGTTTGGTTTTCTTCTTCCTTCTCCCTCAAGCTAGCCTTGATGATCCCCACTTCCTTCTCAAATGCCTCCTTAACCTGCAAATGCTCTGCCAGGGGCACCGACGAGTTCTTCTGGTTCTCCAACATCTGATGCAGGGTGGCCACTGTCTGCTGCTCTTTCTCGTAACATCTTTGCTTATTCTTCAGTTCTTCCTTGAGACTCTCGATTGTGCCGTTCAGAGACTTTTTGAGGGCCTCAACCTGTTCCAACGGAACATGCTGCTTCTGCAGAAGGGTCTGGGCTGCGAGAATCTCCGAAGTCTGTCTGGCATTTTCGTCGACCAGCTTCTCTTTCTCGGTCTTTACCTCCGTGTATTTCTGCAGCAGGTCTTTGAATTGTTTGTTTAGCTCTTCTGCTTTTCTGCTTAGCGCTCTTTCCATTTCATGAGCACTCTCAAGGAGAACATTCTTATCTTGCAAATCCTTCTGAAGAGTGAAAATCTCCTTCTTCAACTTGTCATTCTCTTGCTTGCACTTCTTGGCCTCTTCTTCCCTGACGTGATATTTTTGTGTCTGCTCGGATAACTGTTCTTTTAGTTCTTTCTCTGTCGCTTTAAATTTTCTTTCACACTCTTCGAAGCTGATGATTGGAGCATATTTGAGCTTGATGCATTCTTGAATCGTGTCGAGCTCCTTCTTCTGGGCTTCGATCTCTGCGTGCAGCGTCACGATCTCCTCTTGGCCCTTCTTGTAGTTGGCCAGGATTTCCGCACTGTCATCCTGTACCCTCTTCATGCTCTGACTCGCGGCACCCATCTTCTCCTCGTGCTCTCGGAGGCTGATGTACTCGGCCTTCATTTGGTTCTGAGTGTTCTCCAGGTTTCTTTTGAGTAGCTCATTCTCCTCTTTTGTTTTTACAAGTTCCCGACTGAGATCCTCGATGTTTTTCTTCGCATCTAGTAATTCTCTGTTCGTCTTATCTAGGGTGCCACTCAGTGCGGCTTTAATCTCCTCGTGGGCTGGAGCTGGCACGTACTGAGTACTCAGGCTCTTTTTCAACGCGGTGTTTTCGGACAGGAGTGCATGTATTTTCTCTTGGTCTCCGGCACGTTTTTTGTGAAGCTCAGAGAGCTGTTGTCTGAGGTCAGCAAGGCTGGAGTTCAAAGCCGTGACCTCCTTCTCGTGTTTCTCAGGAGGCACGAACGCGGTCTCGAGGCGGCTGACGTTCTCACTCAAACGGCCATTCTCCACCAGCAGCTTCTCCATGGCCATCTTCTGCTCCGTGTACTTCTGCGTGACATCTACAAGCTGTTGATTCAGCTCACCGACCATGACGTCATGCGACTTTTTCATTTCTTCGCTCACTTGTAAAGGAACGTAATGACTCTTCATTTCACTTGTTAAGTTACGGACTTGCTGGCTGAGGAGCTTGTTATCCAGATACACCTTTTCGACGTCCTTTTGTAACGTCTGATTTTTCGACGTGAGTTCGGTGATCTTCTTCGTAAGTTCTCCCGCCCTCTGCTCCAGCCTGCTCTTGAGCTGCTCGTGCTCCTCCGGTCCGACGTGCTGAGCAAGCTTGGCCTTACAATTCTCAACTTCTCTCGTCAACTGTCTGATTTCGCTAAGTGACTTTTCATGCTCCCTTTCCATCTCTCCTATTCTCTTGGCCTTCTCAGTGACTTCACTTGACAACAAGCTCTTCATGCTCTCGAATTTTTCCGTCGGAACGGAAAGGGCCAGCTTGGCCAACAGTTCTTTGACCTGGCCTTCCGCCTCTGTGACCCTCCTGCCTTTCTTGTCTCGCTCCGTCTCACACATACTGAAGTCCCTCTGCAGTCGCTTGTTCTCTTCCACCAGCTTGCCTGCATCCCGCTTCAACTCTTCTACTAGCATCTCGCTCTGTCCGATCTGGTTTCGTAACTTCCCCACTTCTGCTGACGCGCCCTCGTACTTTGCTTTCATGTCTTTCAACTGGTCCTTCAGTTCCTCGGTTAGTCTGTGATTCCCCGCAGCTGCTTCACTCGTTAGGTGCTCTTTAAGGGCAAGAAAATGTGTCTGCATTTGTTTTACTTTACCTTCCGACTCGTACATTCTCTTCTGCACATCTTTCAATGCGTCTTCTAACTGCTTTACCTGCTCATCTGAGTCCTCCTTGATCCGTTCACATTCTAATGCTAAAGCTTTACATTCGGCCACCTTGTGAGCCAGCTCGCTCTGGAGCTTGAGTCGGTCTTGTTTTGCTGACTCGCAGAACGTTCTCATTGCTTCTAACTCTTTCTTTAAAATGTCATTTTCAGAATATGAGGTTTGATGGGGTAAGGACAGCTCCAGCGGTCTTAACAGAGACCTGCTTTGCATGTGGGCCGGCACCCCTGGGGACGTACACTGAAAGGGGAAACAAACAAAAAAAGAGATGCTAATCACAAAAGCCTAAAGAAGACATTTACTTATTTGCCAAACTTCTAGATTCCCACATCATCAGTAGTCAAGGGGTTTTCAGACTAGCGTATTGGAAAAATACAGTACTGATTTTTGAGGTTAAGAAAAGCAATTCTGGGTATGATTCCCTTAAAATGCTCTCAAGCAGGGATACTTTGAAAGTCTGCTCACCGTAAGTGTATTTCTGGCAGAACAAAGAAGGAAAAGAGTTGTGGCCTCTGGGGACCATTTCCTCTTCCCTTCTCCATTCACAATAACTACCCACAAGTGATATCAACTTTATCAAAACACATTTATTATTTCTATGCTTTATGGCACGTAGTGTGCTTAGAACTTCCAATTCTGAAGAAAGTCATCAAAACCGTTGAATAAAAACAAGTATGGCAATTTTATATCTGCAAATAATTTCACAGAATGATATATTATTTAACTTCTAAGAAGCTATATAATTTCTGAATATCCTTGTTAACTCCAATGTAATGTTCTTTAAATTATAGAAACAGCACCAAAATAAACACAGCTAGCATGAGTTGTTGAGAGGATATTAGTTAACTCACAAAAAAAGGAAGCAGTTTTCTCCTCTCGAGTAGGATAAACTAAAACTTAACATGTGATCTTAGTACAACATTTTATTGACATCTTATTCCTCCACTAAGAGTTGACACAAAAAGAAGTATAATTAAACTTCTCATGAAATAGTGCCTAAATAGAACATGTAACCATGAAAGACTAAATTCAATTATCTTACTTTTTCCCACACAGCCTATTACAGCAAGGGCTCCTTACAAGTACTAACTCATGGATAAAAGCTATGTGCTGTGAATACATTCCACCATTTTAACAGGCAGGTTTTACTGTTGTTCAGTTAAATCTACACTGTCTTGCCCTGGATCAAGAAGAAAATTAACAACATGGAATAATTTCGCAGCCTTTAGTCTGCTTTTAAATTACCTTTCAATTTACCAATGATCTTTAGACTAAGACTACTATAATTTAGCAATTACTTACACAGCTTTACAATTTCCATACCTGCTTTATTACAATCCAATATTTATCTAATCTTAAATACTTCTCAGGTGACATTCATTTTCTCAACTTAGAATCTTAGAATTTTCCAGCTTCAAGTGATCTTAGACATCACAAAGGCTAACTCACTCTGCCTATAAATGATGGTATGTAAAAGGGCCTTTCAAAGCCCAAATATTTATCAGTTCAGGCCATGGGAAGTGCTGACCTTCCCATGCAATGCAAACCTGTATCTACCGGAAGCAGTATAAACAGGTTAGAAAATCAGACAACACTACCTCTTGGAAGCTTTCCTTATTCTGAGGTGAATTTCCAACACACAGGATATATATTGGAATGCAAGCAAAAATACATTTCAAAGTCCAAAAAAATGACTTCTGAATTACTCGTAGTTGGCCTCCCCTTTATATGGGTAAATATGAAGAGTTAACCGAACAAGGTTAACGAGGCTTACTATCAAAGACAATGAACTTGTAATTCAAATCTCTTATTTAAGCTACTGTCATCAAAACACTCTAGAGGGCACCAGAAACAGTACTATCGGCTTTTATTAAACTCAGAACACCAAGAACAACTTTTCTTTGAAAATGAAGGCCTTATTCAATGTATATTGAATTTCTGTATTTCATTTTCGTATTCAATTAATACACAAAACTGTTTTCCTCTTTTTAAAAAGGTACAAATATTTTTAATTAAAAAACAATTACCTGTGAATCTGTCATGTACATTTGACCCTGTTTGAGAAGCATATCTTCTTTTCCTACATAAATCCAAATAAATGAGATCTTAACTGAAATACTCATACCAAATAGGCTAAGATTTAATTTGGCGTTATTATCTCTCCTCTTACTCAAACTAAAGAAAAGCATGAGTTAAAACATAAAGTTATCCTTATTCTAAAATACCCCTGGTTTTCTTTATTTTTTCTAGACACATAAGGGAAGTATCTATATTGTTCTGAGTAGAAACTAAGTTGGTTTTTAGAAATATATAAGACTGTTAGACTAAATAAGCTACATGATTATTATAAAATACGTATCTTATAATCAGTCAAAATAAAAATGGTGTTCTTTACAACTTACGGGATAAACATTACTATTGTACTTAAAGGATAATTTAATATTTACTTGGAAGCAAAAAATGGATTTTGTAGAGAAATTCTTTAGAACTAGCAAACAAAAAACCGAAGTTAATACTAATTACATATACTCTTAAGTAAGAAATAATTATTTATGTAACTTCTCATTTTAAAATGCTTCCCTGCATTGAGACTATATCCAAAGATTTCTCCAAATGAGAAAACTATGTCATGTTTCTTTTCATAAAAAACAAGCTCCAAATATCACAAGACAAATATCTACTAATCAACAAGGTAAGTTTGGCCATGCATACAATATCCAACTTAAAAATACAAGTGGCTAGGGAAAATCGGAGCCTCAGGATTACCAGATTTTCTGTTCGAGACTACAGCAGTCATCTTAACCTCTTCCTGCTTCGATGTGTTGAGGTTTAACACACAAGTAGTTGACATTTAGCAGCAAGAAGGCCATATACAGTTAGACAAAACAAACAGACGTAAACATTCTCCCTTGTCCGAACTGGGTGAACAGTAATGATAATCTATGCTTCCATACTTACGGTTACTGAAATGACTTCCTGATCCTAAATGATCACTCTGAAATCAGAAGCATAAATTAAAACATTTGGGTGAATATTGCTTCATTTTGTTACATTCTGTATCTATTTCAGTTCTAAATGATCCAACCATTAAAACCACATTTTCAACATTCCTTGTTTCTCCCGAGTATTACTCTACTTTAAAACCACAAAAAAGTCACAGCACTAGCAACAATTAGATCAGTTGGGAATAAACTACTTCACTAGGCATTTTAATAAAGGCAGCCAAGTGTTCCAAGGAAAAATTTTATTGCTCAAAAGAAAAAAAAAAAACAACCGAACCCCAAATGAACTACAACAACTTTCAGCGCATGCTCTTTGTTGCTGTTTTACCTCAAAAGGAAGAAGCTGCCACCTGTGCCTCCAATACTGACTTTACCCCTGTTGGGAGCGGAAACCCTACCTCACTGCCTGTGAAATATTAGTGTAACCTCTTTTTTCAGAATTTATAAAATACAGAAAACTTTGGAAGGCAAAGGGAGACAGAGAGCAGAAAAGGAAACTGAGGCACACTACACACAGTAATAAATCCGTCAATGTGTCGGTTAGGAAAAGGAGAATAAGAGAGAAATTTTAGGTACTCTGAATTGAAGTGTGTTTGAATTGCTCCTTTTTTTTTCAAGTCAGAATCTAACAAACAAACTGAAACATATACCTTCAAGAGTAAAGATACACAGAGGTGAAATTTAACCAAGGAAGTGAAAGGCCTATACTCTGAAAACTAAGAACCTTGGTGAAAGAAATTGAAGATGACACAAACAAATGGAAAGATATTCCGCACTCATAGACTTGAAGAATTAATACTGTTAAAATGTCCATACTACCTTGGGGCTCCTCGGCAGCTTAGCCAGTTAAGCGTCAACTCTTGATTTCGGCTCAGTCACGATCCCATGGTTCATAGGATCGAGCCTTACTATCAGCGCAGAGCCTGCTTGGGATTCTCTCTCTCCCTCTCTCTCTGTCCCCTCCCCAGCCTGTGTGCACACGCACTCTCTCTCAAAATAAATGAATAAACTAATTTTAAAAAAGTGTCCATACTACCCAATGCAGTCTAGAGATTCAATGCAATCTCTATTAAAATATCAACAGCATTTTTCACAGAACTAGAACAAATAATAGTAAAATTTGAATGGAACCACAAAGACCCCAAATGGCCCAAGCAATCTTGAGAAAGAAGGACAAAGCTGGAAGTATCACAATCCCACATTTCAAGATAAATTACAAAGCTGTACTAATCAAAACAGTCTGTGGGGCGCCTGGGTGGCTTGGTCGGTTAAGCGTCCGACTTCGGCTCAGGTCATGATCTCACGGTCCGTGAGTTCGAGCCCCGCGTCAGGCTCTGTGCTGACAGCTCAGAGCCTGGAGCCTGTTTCAGATTCTGTGTCTCCCTCTCTCTCTGCCCCTCCCCTGTTCATGCTCTGTCTCTCTCTGTCTCAAAAATAAATAAACGTTAAAAAAAAATAAAAAAATAAAAAAACAGTCTGGTAATGGCACAAAAACAGACACCTAGATCAACATAACAGGACAGAGAGCCCTGAAATAAACCAACGCTCATACAGTCAATTAATCTATGACAAAGAAGGCAAGTATATACAATGGAGAAAAGACAGTGTCTTCAACAAATGGTGCTGGAAAGACTGGACAGCTACACGCAAAAGAATGAAACTGCACCACTTTCTCATACCATACACAAAAAATAAACTCAGAATGGATTAAAGACCTAAATGTGAGATGTGAAATCACAAAGCTCATGGAAGAAAACACAGACGACAATCTCGCTGACGTCAGCCACAACAACATTTTTCTAGATGCCTCCTCTGGCAAAGGAAACAAAGCAAAAATAAATTACTGGGGCCACATAAAAATAAAAAGGCTTTGCACAGTGAAGGAAACTATCAAAAAGATAAAAAAGCCGCCTAGTGAATGGGAGAAGATATTTGTAAATGATATATCATATATCTGATAAGGAACTAATATCCAAAATACAGGAAGAACTTATACAAGCCAACCCTCCCCCAAATAATCCAATTTAAAAAATGGGCAGAGGGCCTCAAAAGACAGTTTTCCAAAGAAGATATGCAGATGGCCAACAGATACATGAAAAGATGCTCAGTACCACTAACCATCATGGAAATGCAATTGAAATCACAATGAGATATCACCTCACACCTATCATAATGGCTAGTATCAGAAAGACAAGAAATAAGAAGTGTTGGCAAGGATGTGGAGAAAAAAAGAACCCTGTATACTGTTGGTAGGAATGTAAATTGGTACATCCACTATGAAAAACAGTATGGAGTTTCCTCAAAAAATTACAAATAGAAATACACCATATGATCCAGTAACTCCACTACCGGATAATTCACCCAAAGAAAACAAAAACACTAATTTGAAAAGATATATGCACTATGTACAATAGCCAAGGTGTGGGAGCAACCCATGTGTCCACCCATAGATGAATGGATAAAAAAGATATGGCATATGTACACACACACACGCACACACACGCACACACACACACACACACACACACACACACACAGACACGAAGAACTATTTGGCACTTGCAAACCATGGATGGGCTTCGAGGGTATTATGCTAAGTGAAATAAATGAGACAGAGAAAGACAAATGCACTTATATGTGAAATCCCCAAAACAAAACAGATGAACAAACACAAAGCAGAAACAGACACATAAATATAGAGAACAGTGTTATGGTTGCCAGAAGGGAGAAGCTAGGGGAATGGGCAAAACAGATGAAGAAGAGTGGAAGATATAGGTTTCTAGTTATGGAAGGAATAAGTCATGGGGATAAAAGGTACAGTACAGGGAACAGCATCGTAACAGTGTTGTATGGTGACAGATGGGAACTACGCTTGTGGTGACCACAGCATAACACACAGAGTTGTCGAATCACTAAGTTGTACACCTGAAACTAACTGTGGGTCAACTATTTTCAATTTAATAAAGGATGTGCAGACATAGTTTGTGTTTGTGTATCTGCATTAGTACTAATAGCTATGTGTCAAGGTGATATAGGTGACCACAATAAAAATGGTCTCCATAGTTCTATAAATTAATGCCACTTCCACTAATCCTTAGTGCCTCCAGGGTATGGAAAGATGTCTGCAGGCTTAGTTAAGCTCTTTGTTAGATGTAATAATAAATATTAGAGTTTGCAATAGTTGCTAAATGGGCTTATACATGTATGGGTTGGGAGAGGCCTATCCGCATATAAGGAGTTCAAAAAACTTAGTTTGGGTTTATTACCTTTACTTGACTACTCACATAAAAATGGATTGATGAGTTGTCTCCTAAAATTAGTCTCATTCTAAAATACCCGTATTTTTCCACGTTTTTCTACAAACATAAGGGAACTGCCTACATACTGTATATACAAATAATGTAGCATTTCTGTTGGCAGTTTAGGAGGAACTTTTAGCATGTGAGAGGACACAGTTGTAAATATTCAATATTTATAAATAAAGCATTCTTAGTTTTTAATGGCTGCTGTCACAAATACTGGATCACATGTAAAGTGGACCCTCTAATTTTCTTTTTGAAAGTAAAAACTTATTTCTAATGTAAAAATTCATCAAAATGAATTATTTATTGACTGGAGAAAATGTCCCCACTATAATATGTGCAAAAGTTACAAAACGATATTCCCACCTCTGGCTGAATGTGCATGTAACACAAGTTATGCACAAAGCAAGTTCTGAAAGGAGATCAGTCAGGTACGAAGATTGCTGGGATCATAGGTGTGTTTATCTTCTGTTTTTAGTCTAATAATATTTTCTAAATTTTCTAAAATAAATTATGTATTGTTTTTGTGAGAAAAAATGTGTTATTTTTCTATAATATATTATAATCTTACTGAAAATTATAGACTTGACTCCAAGTTTGTCTACAGCTCCAGAAAAACATGTTAGTCTTAAGATGTGAGTGTCCGCTCGTAGAAGAAAATACAAAAATAGTACTCAATTATAGGTATCCAACTTTGATCAATACTTCAAAAATCCTATATTCACAACTGTATTTTCTCATTCAAGCCATACTGAGGTTAAAACTAGTCAGACTGCCTGGGTTCAAGTTCTGGCCCTGCCACTTACTATTTATAGTGCCCCTCCATGCCTCAGTCTCCTCACTTACAAAGCAGAGTTAAAGTAAAATCTACCACACAGAGTCGATGTGTTTATGAAATGCATGCAAAGCGCACAGAGCAGTTCCTGGCACATGGTTGGTGCTATGAGCTGTTAACTGTTACAAGTTTCACTATTAACCTTAAAAACAAACATGTTCAAATGTGAAAGACAGAAGCCACTATACTAGTTCTAAATTAGCCTATAAACCCGTATCTCTGAATAATCTTCAGGATTCAGTCATATAAATGCAAACATGCTTTTATTTTTTTCAATGTATCGAGGCATAAAATACATGAATATTAAGTGCACAGTGCAATACATTCTCTGCATATGCGCACCCTGTGTAATCACAACCCGGATCTAGAACATTCCCTGCACCCTCAGAAGCTTCTTCATACCTCTAGTCAGTAACCCGTCACCAAAAGGTGGCCTCTACTCTGACCTCGTTCACTACAGATTTGTTTTGTCTGATTCCGAATTTCATAAAAATGGAATCATGAAGTATGCACTCTTTGTGTCTGATTTCTTTCACACAACATTATGTCTGTGAGATTCATCCATGTCTTTACTTTTTTCATAGCTACATGCATTTTTTTTCATTTACAAAGAAAAAAATTACTTTTGTTATGTCCTTTGGAGTTCTATTCCCCAATGAAGATAAAAGATTCACACTGAATCAGCCACCTTCTTCAGTGACCCCAGTGATGAACATTTATAAAATATATATTACGGCCTTTCAGAACAAACCTGTGCAGTTAAAAATCAGGAGAGTGGTCACTGTTCGTGCAAGAAGTGTGGGTAGTGACAGGAAGTAAGAATGAGGAGGCTTTTAGGTATTGGAGATGTTCTGCTTCTCGATCTCAGTGTGTTTGACTTATGAAAGTTCTTCAACATATATACACTTTAACAAGTGTACTCTATAATGTATAGTGTATTTCAACAAAAAAAAATTTTTAAAAACCATGACTTTGGAAAACATAAGAGCTAACTGATCCAACCAAAGTTGAGTATACAATCTAAGACTTATTAAGACACTACTCTCACCAAAGTGGTCTACTTAAGGCATATATACACAGACTCCTGAGATAAGCCTGGAAAGATACTATTCATTTATGACACTTTGTTATTATCACTATCATAATCATTGCAGATTTGCAGGTAAAAGTATGAAGTTTTGTAAAGGTAAAGATGGACAAAGAGGCAAGCTAGAGAAGAGATACTGGGACGGAAGAGAACGCCAGGCACACGTTGGTCAATTTCAGGCGTCTCGTTTAACCTTGACAACAACTCTGTGGAGAGGGGGACAATCCCCCCGATTTTGCGAAAGCGGTAGCAAGCTCAGAGACTTTAAATGAATTGCCCGAGGTTGCACAATAAAGAAAAACGTGGTCATTCAAATTTAAGTCTGACTCCAAGCTCCTTATCACTGCCCATTTTGTGCTATATGAAATAATTTATTTAAGCTTTCTATACCTCAAAATATTTAAATCTATTTTTCAGAGCCTCGATAGTTCTCAGGCTTTCTTCATGTTGCTTTTCTTTAGCTGCCAAAAGGGACTTCAGCTTTTCTTTCTGAAATGGAAAGGAATAAATACAGAGCAAAATCATTCTGTGCTTGCAACTGGGTTAAAAATGGGTTTCAGAAAATGTGAATTCAAATTACTTTAATTTTTTTTAGTATTTTTAACTATTAGTAGAGCTGAAAATTTCTACAAGTATACTAATATAGAACACATACCAACAATACTATGAAAAATTCAAAGGTCCGTTGTTTGTTTTAGATCTTATTATTTTCAGACATTTTGTTTGTAGTGTTTAGAACTTTACATCTTTTCATAAGAAGTTTCACAGAAAATCAGGCATTCAGAGGCAGTGACAGCAAAATGTTTATGATAACCCATGCTACTGTACTTAACGTGTATTTTCAGTCACGTGTACGTTTTGTTTTCCCCTTTAAGCAATACCCAGAAACAGAATCCTCATCCCCAACTCAGTTCAAGATTCAAACCTCTCCAGCAGTACCATTTTCCATTTACGTAAGATTTTATATCTTTAAAGGAAAACCTATCATCCTACCTCACTTTCCAGATCATCAGCAACCATTACTTCCTAAATTTAAAAAGAAGAAATGTACTTTCGTTATTAAAAGGCATGAACTTGGCGAGTATCATTTTAAAAGACTAGCGTGTGTCTTTAGGATTGGGAACAAGGACATAAGAAGCACACGTCTCTAGGTGACCAATTCTGTGGTCTGAGCTTTCATTGGTTTTTCCCACTAACCAGGCTCAGATGCACTGATTCTCCTGAGAACCCATCACTTATCAACTCCTACTTACTCCTCTTCCTCACGTCTTTTGTCCGCTCCTTCCTCTCCAGTCCCGGGGCCCCCACTAGAGTTCAGAGCTTTGCTATCACCATCGACCAACAGTATTTCTCTGTTCTTACACGTGACACTGAAAGTTTCCTGTAAAGATCCCAGTAAGATATAACTTTCCTCAAGGGCAAGGACCTGGCTGTACCTCCTTTAGCATCTAGCACGGTGACTTAATGTGACAGGCGATCATTAACGATTTGTTGTCAAGGACGATTACCGGTAGTAAAACATTTAAAAAACTTTTTAGATGAGGTAGATTCTTTACCTCATTCAACTGTAGTTGTAAACCGTTGACTTTATCCAGTAATATTCTCTGTTCTTGCTGAATTTTTCTCAACCTCTCTTTCAAATCTTCATTTTCAATCTCCAGATCCTTAAATAGTAAAGATAACAGGTGCTAGACTGGCCTTAAAAGAGCAATTCTTATGGAAGAAAATTTTAGAAGTAGTTTGCTATCATGTATGGATGTATACATCTCTAACATGGCTTTAAGCCCAAATACACAATAGTTTCGATGACATTTCAATGACCTAAAATTTGTAGATCAGAAATCACACACAGGCATACTCATTTTATCGTGCTTCGCTTTACTGTGCTTTGCAGACACCGTGTTTTTTACAGATTGGAAGTTTGTGGCAACCCTGCACTGAGCAAGTCTATGGGTGTCATTTTTCTAACAGCATTTGCTTACTTTGTCTCTGTGTCACATTTTGGTAACTCTCTCGATGTTTGAAACTTTTTAATTGTATTTGTTATGGTGACCTGTGCTCAGTGATCCTTGAGGATACTACTGTAACTGTCTCGGGGCACCATGACCTGTGCCGATCTCAGATTATAAACTTAACCAACGAATAGTGTGTATGTTCTGACTGCTCTACCCACTGATCCTTCCTCTACCCCTCTCCCTCTCCTCAGGCCTCCCTAGTCTCTGAGACACAACAATACTGAAATTAGGCCAATTAACAACCCTACAGTAGCCTCTAACTGTTCAAGTGAAAGGAAGAATCACACGTCTCTCACCTTAAATCAAAAGCGAAAAATGATTATGCTTGAGGAAGGCATGTCAGAAGCTGAGAAAGGCCCAAAGTTGGCTCTCCTGTACCAGTTAGCCAAGTTGTGAATGCAAAGGAAAAGTTCTCGAAGGAAAAAGGGCTACTCCAGTGAACGAATGAATGATAAGAAAGCAAAACAGACTGACTGCTGATATGGAGAAAGTTTTAGTGGTCTGGATAGAAGATCAAACCAGAACCCTCCACAACATTCCCATAAGCCAAATCCAGAGCAAGGCCCTAACTCTCTTCAATTCTATGAAGGCTGCTAACATATCATCCATGCTACAGTTCATGGATCAAGGAGTAATTTCAACTTTCAAGGCTCATTAGTTAAAAAAATACATTTTGGGGGTGCCTGGGTGGTTCAGTCGGTTAAGCATCTGCCTTCGGCTAAGGTCGTGATCTCACGGTTTGTGAGTTCGAGCCCTATGTGGGGCTCTCTGTTGTCCACATAGAGACCACTTCAGATCTCCTGTCTCTCTCCCTCTCTCTGCCCCTCCTCTGCTTCCTGGCTTTCTCTTGTTCTCTCAAAAATAAATTTTAAAAAATTTTAAATAAAAAAAAATAAGTACATTTTGTATGTATTGTATGGCTGCCTTAGATAGAGATTCTTCTGATGGATCTGGGCAAAGTAAATTGAAAACCTTCTGGAAAGGATTCACTTTCTAGATGCCATTAAGAACATATCAACATTAACAGGAGTTTGGAAGAAATGGATTCCAACCCTCATGGAGGACTCTGAAGGGTTCAAGGCTTCATTGCAGGAAGTACCTGCAGATGTGCAGCAAATAGCAAGAAAATTTGAGTTAGAAGTGGAGCCCGAAGACGGGATTGAATTCTGTGATAAAACTGATGACTTGAGGAGTTGCTTTTTATGGATGAGCAAAGAAAGTGGTTTCTTGAGATGGAATCTACTTCTGGTGAAGATCCTGGAAAGATTACTGAAATGACAACAAAGGACTTAGAATATGACATAAACTTAGTTGATAGAGCAGCAGCAGGGTTTGAAAGGATCAGCTCCAATTTTTTTTAAATGTTTATCTCTTTATTTTTGAGAGAGAGGGAGAAAGAGAAAGAGAGAGAGAAAGCAGGGGAGGAGCAGAAAGAGAATCTCAAGCAGGCTCCACGCTGTCAGCATGGAGCCAGACATGGGCCTGGAACCCATGAACCTTGAGACTGTGACCTGAGCCGAAATCAAGAGTAGGACGCTTAAATGACTAAGCCACCCAGGCGTCTTGGATCAGCTTCAATTCTGAAAGGAGTTCTACTGTGGGGAAAATGCTACCAAACAGCATATTACCAAGAAAACCTTTGCTAAAGGAAGAGTTCATCGATGTGGCAAACTTCATTGTGATCTTATTTTAAGAAACTGCCACACTCACTTCCACCTTCAACAACTCACCACCCTTATCAGTCAGCAGCCATCAACACCAAGGCAAGACTCTCACCAATAAAAAGATGACAGCTCACTGAAAACTCCAATGGTGTCTAGCATTTTTCAGCAATAAAGTACTTTTATTTTTTTCTCTATTTTCTTTAAAAAAAATATTTATTTAAGCAATCTGTACACCCATCATGGGGCTCGAACTCATGACCCCAAGATCAAGAGTCGCACGCCCTTCTGACTGAGCCAGCCAGGTTCAGCAATAAAGTATTTTTTTAATGTTTATTTATACTTATTTTTGAGAGACAGAGAGGCAGTGAGAAAAGGAGACAGAGAATCCCAAGCAGGCTCCACATTGTCAGCACAGAGCCTGATGAGAGGCTCGAGCTCACCAACTGTGAGATCATGACCTGAGCTGATATCAAGAGCCAGACACTTAACCGACCAAGCCAGCCGGGTGCCCCAGCAATAAACTATTTTTAAATTATGATATATACATTGGGGGTTTTTTTTAGATACAACGCTGCGTCACACTTAACAGGCTACAGTAAAATGCAAAAATAACTTTTATATCTACTGGGAAACTAAAAAGTTCATTTGACTCGCTTTATTGCAATATTTGCTTTGCTGCAATATTCACTTTATTGCGATGATCTGGAACTGAACTGCAGTCTCTCCGAGGTATGCCTACAGACGACGGTCCTATGCTGTCTAGTTAATACAAGCGTATACCACACAGCAAACCACCATGATTCTAGTAAGTACAAAATAAAAGAATCACCTGGAAATAGAAAATAGAAGAATATGCCACTTTAACTTCTGTTTAACATCTCTCAAGTTCATGAGAGTGTTCTACCGCTTTTGCTAAACTAATTATTATTTCAGTGCTCTGATGACATGTTTAAGGCTCCAATTTAGGGCTATAGTTCACTTTCTTAATACCACACAGTAAACTAAAAAAGCCCAAATAAAATGCTTTTGCTTTATCATATGGAAAACAGCTATACAATGTATATTTTAACGGTGTTTCAGTCATAAAATAAGCCGTTTAATTATGGAATCTTCCTCTGACATTAATCCACATAATAATTATTTTTTGAACACTGATGAACATAAAATATTGTGTGCTTAACAAATGATTTTTTGATCAAAATAAAAAATACTTGCATTAGACAAAAGTAAATATTTATTTACATTAATAACCATCATTTTTAACCACAATATTTAAACTTGTATTCATTTTTAAAAATAAATACACATTTAAAATTTATGGCCCAAAACAGATGTATTTAAATCAACAAAAAGTTACATAAAGTTGTTAAATGATTTGCTCCTAATACATATGAAAACGATACTTTCTGTAAGGTAATACAACCCAACCATTTGTTTCAAACGTCAATTCTCTTAGAAGATATGGCAAGAAGACAGAATCACAAAACATAACAGGCTACCCTCCCTTCTCCCACTCATTTTCTCTCGTTTCTTGTTCCTTCTCCTCACCCGACCCCACTACAAACAACACTGCCATTCGCTGCAAAGGAAGACACCACTTTTTTCTTTTTACCTGAATGTTTGGATGCTCCCTCTGACCCGACTTCGTATTTACTTCATCTAGCATGTATGGCAAATTTCGCTTTGGTGAAACATAAGAAAACACAGGTTAGCAAGTAGGAAAATACAGAGAAGGACATTTTCCTCAGTAGGCAATGATCAGCGCTCTGAAGCTTATCCAACGCTAAATTTTGCTGTACAAAACACAAGGTGGCAGTGTTTCCACTTAAAACTCCAAATGGACGGCAACTCTTTAAGTTTTAAATAAATCAAGTATGATGTATTTTGAAATATGAAGACATAACAAAATTTAAAATATGAATTGTGAAGGGTTTATTTTAACTAAAGTCACCAAGATTTAAAAGGTAGGATTCACGCTAGACCCAAAACTAACATTGCGTTAGAAGGCATCATCAACTATTCCCAAAGGAAAAAAATCTAGTATTGAAAATGAAGAAGGAGGGGGACTTACATTAATGTTAAAATGAAATACGGAAATTATTTACTTTTCTAAGCACTGATACACTACAAAACAAAGGGTGTGGGAAGAAAGAGAGAGACAATCCTCTGATCAGAGCTATACAGAAGATCTCTAAAATGACTTGGTTCAGGACATGTCGTTTTGTACACTTACCGCTTCGAAACCTTATTCCAGCCTACAGATGGTGCTTTCATAAAAACATTAATAAGACAGCGTAAAACCTTTTTTTTGGCCCCAACTGACCTTTTAATCTACATAATAGTTTAGAATGCTATGGTCTTCCTTTTTGAGAGCTTTAAAAAAAAAAACAACTAATACTTTAATTCTCCAAGGTTTTTTTTTTTATATTTTGTATTATTTGTCGAGTTTTGTTTCACCAGATGTTTTAACTACCATTCTAATGAGAGGGGCAAGGTCCCATTAGACAGATATTTCATACCCACGATTTGGTCCAAACTATATTTCTAGCCTCATTCCTTCCAGCAAAGGACTGTTCCTCATGTGAGATCTGACCTGCTTCCTCACTCTACCTTCACCCCCGCCTTCCCTTCAGAGGGCCCTTCATCATCTGACATCTGCTTACCTCGCCCGCCTCTTCTCCTCCTCGGTCAAGTGCATTATCGCTCCTCCACTCTGACCTGCTACTGCCCCGTGGACATGTTCAACATGTTCCTGTATCAGGGGGCTGGCACCTGCCCTTCCCTCTGCCCGTGAGGCTTCTCCTACAGAGCCCTTGTGGCTCCCTTCCCGCTTCCTTCAGACCTCTGCTCAAATGTCACTTCCTGAGAGAGGCCTTTGCTGGCCACGCCATCTAAAATAGCTTCCTGTCCTCTCCTTCTTCATCCCCTAATCCCGTTCCACTTTCCTTCAAAGTGTATGCCAGGATGCTAACTACTAGTATTTGCTTAGTTTTCATTTCTCTCCCTAGGCGGGGAGCAACGCGAGGCAGGGACTTCGCACAGCACTATGATTCCATGGCACTTAGGACAGTAATTGGCATATAGTAGGTGCCTCACAGATGTCTGTTAAGCAAACAACCGAAGAAGTCTTATTTTGAAAACTATACTGTGGTCTTCTTGATAATAGGGATTAACTGTCCCTTAGTTCAGGAACAAATCCTGTTTACAGCAGATATTTTTAAATGTATTCAATAAATAATGGGAATAAGTGAGTTTTACTGTTCCTAGCAGAATATTAACTCCATGTATTCACTTAGATAACTCCTAGAGCACTAAACAGAATACCATTCCCACATTAATATTTGACAATTCTTTATCTTAACTATCTCTGTAATTCAGAAATCACTTTGGTCTGATCCCATGTAAGATGGCTGACACAGACATAACAGGGTACAGTTTGTTTTTTCACTCCACTCCCACTTAGGTTGCGTGAGGAATGGAAGAGAAGGGTGAAATGGCTGTTCCAGATGGAAAGGTGAAGTGACGGCAGACGTGACCCATGCATGAAGTATGACTTAATTCTGATGGGTGGAAAAGGAGAACGTGCGTTAATGTAGCTTTCGGATTCTGGTAAGAGGAAGAGAAAGGATGTTCAGAGAGAATGATGATCAGGACTTCTCAGAGGGTACCTGAGGCCTCTCTCCGGGGTTCGCAAGTGCTCAGGCTCCTCTCACTAGAGAAAAGCTGAAAGCCTGGAAGGGAACAGCCAACAGAAAAGGACAGCTGCCTACGCTAGCTTTGAGCAAGTCGGTGACCGCGCAATACGCCAGCCCGCTTACTCGAACCTAAAGAGATCAGGGGAAAACAGGAAGACATCTACTGAGACGGGGACACAAAACCAGGGTGACACGGTGTTTTGATAACAAGTTAGTACAAAGTATGAATTATCTCATGCATTGTATTTCAAAGTCCTCGTTAAATACCGATAAGGCGAAAACAAAAAGCGCAAAAAAGCAGAATAGTAACAGTGGTATTGAAATCACAATATATAATTAGTTTTGAATTCTGTTTTCTTCATTTCTTACTGCATTAGAAGAATTTCCCGTAACAGTAAACATTTCGCTCTCTTATTAAGGGAGAGTAGAGGAAACTGTTAATGCCCTACCAGGCTAAAACTCATCATTTAAGAATCTCCACAAGGTACAATATCTCATATTTGAAAGGGCTGGAGGCTCGAGGCTGGCAATCAGGAGGTGATTTATTTCCCACTGGATATATTCACTGTATGACTGTATCGCTGTAATTGAGATTCACTGTCTCAAGCTGAGTGATTGTATCAAAGCCTCGGGATCTAAATATCTGGGTTCTACAGGGGCATGATTAACTGAGGAGAGAGAATAGCGTGCACTTAAACTCAAAACAGTTATGTATAATCACTAACCTGTAAACACTTTACTGAAATTGAACAATATATATAATTTTTAAAAAATAAAATGAAGACCTACCTGTTGTAAAGATGGTCCTTTCTTCCAAAGTTCTCTTCCTGAAGATTTAAAGAGAGAGAGGAGAAAGAGGAATAGTAAAATGGCAGGTTAACTTGGATAGATTACAGACTATGGATTCCCTAACACACAACTGAGTCATTAAAGAAATCAGTTTTAAGTTTCCTCTAAAGCTTGCTACTTCACAGGTAAAGTGACAGGGACCTATTTTTTACCTGCATTTTCTTCTTTTCTTTTTTTTTTTTTGCTAGGACTATGTCCAGGTAGATAATATTCAATGCTAGGAAGTGGAGGCAATTGCAAAATGCGAAATTTTAAACACTTTTAAATTGGAAGGTAATTTGTCAATATATATCACAAGCTTAGAGAAATGTGTATATCCTGAGACCCATGATTCAATTTCTAGGAACTGATCCTACGACTTATAAAAATATGCTAAAACATTTATGCATAATGACAGTCACTGAATTGTTACGCATATTAGTAAAAACTATAAACTTAAATGACACATACAGAAAATTGCTTAATTAAATTAAACCTAAATATATGGAATTTTAGGGGCACCTGGGTGGCTCAGTCGGTTAGGCATCCGACTTGGGCTCAGGTCATGATCTCATGGTTCATGAGTTCAAGCCCTGTGTCGGGCTCTGTGCTGACAGCTCAGAGCCTGGAGCCTGCTTTGGATTCTGTGTCTCCCTCTCCCTCTTTGCCCCTTCCTCACTCATGCTCTGTCTGTCTCTCTCAAAAAAAAATAAATATTAAAGAACATATGTGGAATTTTATGCATTAATAAAAATCACAATATAGACAAAATGTTTATCTAGGAGGGAAAACTCTTCAACATTTATTACACAAAAAATAACCTGCAGCTCACTGTAAGTGACCTTAATTTTACACATAGGCAAAAGACTGAAAGGCTATTCCTCAAAATAGTAATAAGGAGTCTTCAATGGTAGGATGAGTAACTAATTCTACTTGTTGTGCTTTTCTGTATTTCCCAATTTCTCTTTCATAAAGATAGAGAAATACTTGGTACAGGTATCTGATAAATATTGGTTGAATATTTTATATACATGTTTAAACAAGGATTCTTTCTTTAAAACTTTTTTTTTTAATTTTTTTTTTCAACGTTTATTTATTTCTGGGACAGAGAGAGACAGAGCATGAACGGGGGAGGGGCAGAGAGAGAGGGAGACACAGAATCGGAAACAGGCTCCAGGCTCCGAGCCATCAGCCCAGAGCCCGACGCGGGGCTCGAACTCCCGGACCGCGAGATCGTGACCTGGCTGAAGTCGGACGCTTAACCGACTGTGCCACCCAGGCGCCCCTCTTTAAAACTTTTTAAGTAGAAAAGGTCAGCGCTACAGCCCTCCTCATCAAAAAAATACGTATATACTAGTAAAACACACTTGATTTGGCTCTTTGTCCTCATTGAACTTACTCCACAGAACGGGGTTTACTCAATCAACTGGCCAATATATGCACCAAACACACTGCTCCAAACAAGTGACTGCTAAAATCAAATACGCAAAGCTGCGGACCAGAGGGAGACAGACCAATGACGTGCATCATGAAGTAAGGTTTTGCTTCTTACAAACCGTGGTTCCACCATCTAAATCTTTCAAGGCTGCTCTTTATTAAGCTAGACATTTCTAGTTACTTTGCTACCTACCTTTGTTGGTATTTTCCGATGCAGTCTTCAGTAAACTTAGGATGTCCAGATTGTCACCAATTCTTGCATAGTAAGAGCTGTCATGGCCCAGGGCATCCAGCAAGCTTACATCAGCACCATTTTTGATTAAGACTTCTACAGCATCTTTACAACCATACTCACAACCTAGCATGAGAGCAGTTCTAAAAGAGAAGACAAGAGGCACAAAAGACCTTGAGAAAGATCCAAGAAGATATTTCAGAAACCTTCCAGGGGCTCCCTTCTTAAAGAAGAAGTATTACTTATTAGGGGAGTTTGGGTGGTTCAGTCGGTTAAGCGTCCGACTCTTGGTTTCGGCTCAGGTTATAGCTCACGGTTCATGAGTTTGAGTCCCGCATCAGGCTCTGCAATGACAGTGCAGAGCCTGCTTGGGATTCTCTCTCTCCCTCTCTCTCTCTCCCACTCCCCCCACCCCACCTCTCAAAAAAATAAAGGAACTTAAAAAAAAAAAAAAAAGAATAGGTATTACTTTAAAAAGTCATACTTGTTATACATACCGATTTTACTTCATAGATTTAGCTTCTATTTTAACTTCATCACATTTACAAAAACATTTGCTGTGTGTCTTAGTTTGCAGAACTGAAAACCTCACATCACCTTACATACATTTGTTGCTGCCGCTGCCAAACTCACCGCAAAATCTTCCAAAACGGATACTGTCACCCATCCATTCAAAACCCATAGCTATAAACCCACACTATGCGAGTCCCTTCATGAACTGAACCTTGTATCATGCAAACCTCTTCACAGAGTCCCTTCTACTCCAAAACAAGAATCAGATTCCCGTTCTGATTTCTCTCCTTGGAAGGGCTTGCCTTCTCCTAACCGGGGACCTTCGCATCCTCACACTTAATTTCAAAACCTGCCTCCTCTATAAACTTTCCTCAACTATCCCCATTATCATGGACCACCGTAATAGGATCATTAGCACTGAAACCCTTTGCAAATAGTAATAATGTAATTACACAACTGAATCATCATGGAGATGTGGAAGGACGCTGGAAATTATTTTGTCCCATTCCTAGTTTTACTGCTGAGGAAACTAAAACATAACGAAATGGAGTGACTTATCCTATGTCTAACACTGTCTTTGACTGTGAACGTTGGATTTTGTAAGGAAATGGACTCTTGCCTTATTCTGTGTATACTCTGTTTCTCTTCTCACTCCCCAGTAGTTGTTGGAATACAATTTTATATCCACCAGGTACCAACAAAGTTTTTTTTTTTAATTAGGGAAAAAATGTTATAGATAAGACAGGAAAATAAAGAAATAGAGAGTGTCAGAAACTAAGATTTTAATTTATTTTTAAAGCCATCTGCTACCTAGCCTATTTAATACACATTGCCCTACCTTACTCTGTGTGTGTGTGTGTGTGTGTGTGTGTGTGTGTGTGTGTGTGAGAGAGAGAGAGAGAGAGAGAGACAGAGAGACAGAGAGAGAGACAGAGAGAGAGAGAGAGAGAGAGACATTCAAGTGCATGGGAAAATATAAGATTAAAAAATAATAATAACATGGATCAACCAGATCATCCCTCTCTGATCCTAAACTTTATTTTTAAACCAAATGTTCTTAGTCATGCGTAGAACCAGATTATAGTATCTGCAAAAACAAAGTAATGCAAAAAAGCCACTTCCTTAATAATCACATTAATGATTTAATTGCTTAAGAATTTCCTCCTTTGAGAGGTCTGAACAATACAAACAAGTAGAACTATAATATCTGACATCTAAAGACTATTTTATTATACTTATCTGCCTCTAGTGAAATACAAAAAACAGGATACATGTTTAGAGGAATAAAACTAAGTCAAACGAAAGCAAAAATTTTACCAGTCATCATTTACAAAACGCCAAAAATGTGTTATAAATTATTGTAATGCTTCAACTAGGGGATGGGATGCATTTCAGATACTTCGTTGTCAGAAGCGTGACCATGAACATGAGAATTAGTGCAGCGCCACAATACACTAGACCCACAGGAGGGGAAACGGAGAATTATGGACAGAAAGGGCTAGTGCACACCAAATAAAATGACATCGGACACAGAAGCAAAAATAAATGCAGGGAACCTCGGGGTGCAGAAAGGAACTCGGTTTCAGAGAAGGAGACAGCACTATGCCCAGGCGGGGTAAGGAGAGGGAGCACGTTGGGGAAGTCTATAGAGAAAAACGGCAAGCTCCAGGACACCCAAGAACCTTTACTCTCAAAAGATTCACTAACGAAGAAGCAGACTGTAGATGTAATTTTTTATTCCTGTCCCCCATATCTTATTTGAGCACATTTCTCATTGAAAATTGTTTTAAAACTTTTTTTTTTTTTTTTTTGGTTCGGTCTTACATATTAATCCTTTATTTATTTATTTTTTTGATGGTGCATCATTAATTTTTTTTTTAATGTTTGTTTGTTTATTTATTTTAAACATAATTTATTGTCAAGTTGGCTAACAGCAGCCCCTCTGGAAAACAGTGTGGTGGTTCCTCAAAAAATTAAAAACAGAACTACCCCACAACCCAGCAATAGCACTACTGGGAATTTATCCAAAGGATACAGGAGTGCTGACGCAGAGGGGCACATGTACCCCAATGTTTACAGCAGCGCTTTCAACAATAGTCAGATTACAGAAAGAGCCTAAATGTCCATCCACCGACAGATGGATACAGAAGATGTGGTTTACATATACAGTGGGATACTACTTGGCAATGAGAAAGAATGAAGTCCTGCCATTTGCAGCAACGTGGATGGAACCGGAGGGTATGATGCTAAGTGAAATAAGTCAGAGAAAGATCTGTTTTCACTCATATATAGAACTTGAGAAACTTAAGAAGACTTTAAAATAGGGGCGGTGCTTGGTGGCTCAGTCAGTTAAGCAACTGACTCTTGATTTCGGCTCAGGTCACGATCTTGCAGTTTGTGGTATCGAGCCCCTCATCAGGCTCCGTGCTGACAGTGCAGAGCCTGCTTGGGATTCTCTTTCTCTCCCTCTCTCTCTCTACCCCACCCCCTCGCTCGCTCGCTCTCTCTCTCTCTCTCTCTCTCTCTCTCAAAATAAATAAATAAATAATAAATAAATAAAAATTCTTAAAAAAAATAAAGTAAAAATAAAATAAATAAGTGGGACATGATTCCTCTTCCTTCAGTTTTCTGACCTGAACACAGGCTCCAATCACTGCTTGTATTCCACATTTACCCTGTCATCTTCTCCTATTTCCCTCTCCTTCCTTCATTAGACTCTGGGGAAAAAAGGGGGGGGAAAAAAAAAAGAAGTGGGTGCTAATTCCAAGGAAGGGGAGATCTAAAGGGGAACGGAAAGGCCAAGGCACAGCGGCAGAGTTTCAGAGTCGCTGCAAATCCAGCTGGAGTCTGCAGAGCTGTGATAAAAGGGTTACCTGTTTTGTTTGTCTCTGGAATTAATATCCGCCCCTTTATCTATCAGCATTTGACAAATTGTTGGCCTACACATCTGAGTGGCCAGAACCAGTGGTGTCCGCCCATCCTAAGCAACAAGAAAAATAAAACAGCATCAAGACAACAAATCTCCCAAAGCATAAAAGGCAGAATACTTGGATTGAAATGAGAATATAAACTGACTTACTACATCTTTGGCATTCACTGAGGCCCCGTGGTCACAAAGCAGCTGGATGCTAGAGGGACAGTCGGCCATGGCTTTGAGGAACAGAGGAAAATGATAAATGGTGAACATCTGGTGGTAAGACACATGGTGCTTTGCTACGTCCATAAAAGGCGTAAGTTCTTCCATTGCTAAACTACCGAGCTTCACGTCAGCTGCTCTCAGTTTAGTACAAGTACCCATTTTCTCTCTGAAAATGGATTAGACAAGATCATTTCATAAATGTTGTATAATGTATTGGGACTAAGGAATATTGCCACCCTTGCAGAAGACAACATGCTGCTACCCTACAGGTAAACATGGAAAATAAAAATAAATTTTCTACTTAGAATGTATTCTTAAATGTGGCTTAATCCTTGAAGGGTTAGCTCAATTATTTTTTCAATGAATCATATTCAGTTGTTTATAGAAGAGTCACAGTAAATAAGGTTTGACTCATATAATTCATATTTCCTTTTAAAAGCAGAGACTGCAATGTCTGCCCTTAATGATGCAAAGCAGAGTCACCTTCCTAAAAATTCTATTACAACACCACACACTGCTTCTCCTCTGACCAACACTGGAGTTCATTATCTGTATTAGAAAAAAAATTATTGTTAACTTCATAAAAATAGGATTGTGGGGGCGCCTGGGTGGCGCAGTCGGTTAAGCGTCCGACTTCAGCCAGGTCACGATCTCGCGGTCCGTGAGTTCGAGCCCCGCGTCAGGCTCTGGGCTGATGGCTCGGAGCCTGGAGCCTGTTTCCGATTCTGTGTCTCCCTCTCTCTCTGCCCCGCCCCCATTCATGCTCTGTCTCTCTCTGTCCCAAAAATAAATAAACGTTGAAAAAAAAAATTTTTTTAAATAGGATTGTGTTTCAACTCCCCATGAGTTTTTATTAAAAGTTTTTATATTATTATTAACAAATACTCCCCATGAGTATTTATTAGGAGTCAAGACTAGACTATTACCCACAAAAAGTACAAAGTCAGCATTCTTGTGTGTGTGTGTGTGTGTGTGTGTGTGTGTGTGTTAAATTAAACAGAATAAAACCAAATATAAGAAAATCAAGTAAATTTCATTTCTGCTGTCTTTAATCCAGCAAGCCTTTTATATAAAATACAAAATCAGTCTTAAAAAAAAAGAGATAAATTGAAGCTGAATACATTAATTCAGGAATTATAAAATTAACAACCATTCGGGCCCAATTAAAAGTAAGAATGAGGGGCGCCTGGGTGGCGCAGTCGGTTAAGTGTCCGACTGCAGCTCAGGTCACGATCTTGCGGTCCATGAGTTCGAGCCCCGCGTCAGGCTCTGGGCTGATGGCTCAGAGCCTGGAGCCTGCTTCCGATTCTGTGTCTCCCTCTCTCTCTGCCCCTCCCCCGTTCATGCTCTGTCTCTCTCTGTCCCAAAAATAAACGTTAAAAAAAAAATTAAAAAAATAAAATAAAATAAAATAAAATAAAATAAATAAAAGTAAGAATGAAAAAGTGTAAAGCATAGCAAAGGCCAGAATTACAATATGGTGAACCAGGAAAGTCAGTACTAAAGGTGCTATGGTGGAGAGTGGCAGCTGTTCATCAAACTGTGGTCACCCTTTCTCCCATGGTGATAAAGTTGTGCTGGGAGCATGGCAGCTCACCTGGAGACCACAGTTCCCAGACTTCTTTGCATGCGGGCATGGCCACGTGCATTAGATCTCACCAGCGGAATGTGACAGGAGTGACGTGTGCTACTTTCTGGCTCTAGGGCTTAAAAGTGTGGTTTGTACATTCCTCCGCGATCTTTCCCCTTCCTGTTAGCAGGAAAACACAAGTGCCTGCTATCAGCTTCAGCCTTATAGATGAGGACGACACCCTAGGCAACAGCAGAACTGCAAAGTGGAAGACATCTGGGTCCCTGAATGACCATATGGTACAGAGGCACAAGCCAATCTGAACACCAGGACTATGACACGAGAGAAAGCAATTGCTAGGTTGTTGGTTTTTTTAAGCCACTGTTATGTTATGGTGCCTTTGTCACAGCAGCCTAGTCTTAGCCCTAACTAAGACAAAAACTGCTATCAGGAGTTAGGTGCTATTACAACAAATACCTAAACGACATGGCACTGGCTTAGTGGCTGGATACCAGGTGGCGAATAAACATATTTCGGGCTAGAGGTCTTGTGATTTTTCTCATGCTGTGGCAAAACATTTGAAAGAGCTATCATCCATGATAGAAGCGTATCATGTGGCTACGGAGCCTTTCCAGGTGACTACAGAAGGGGTACCGTGTGTCTATGGAGCCCTTCTAAGTGAAGCAATAGAAAAGGGCCAAAATTTTGGTGCATGTTGGCAGCTGCTTACTACTTTTGGTGAGGTATTACAAGAAAGAGATGAGGTCAAGCAAGACTCAGCCAGTTTATGAACAGAGATAAAAGGGAATAGAGAGCATCTAGATAGCTGGGACCTCAGAGATGTGGGGAAGCCAACTGTTTCTCTATATCAAACAGCAAGATAGAAACTATTGTTGGTCACAGATTTTCTCAAGGACTTCCCAATAAGGAGAAAAGAAAAAAAAAAATCTAGTCTTGGAATAAACAACATCTTAAGGATACTATAATCCCATTCAAGAGTATGATTTCAGATGGCTTAAAGGTGGCAGCCATTAAATGAGGCAGGGAATCGTGAGCCTACAAATAAGGACAAGAAATAAAGGAGGCTTAAGAACTTTGTGTCCAGAAAACAACTTCGAAGACAGACGTATGGAAGTAGCTGGTGATGAATAAACCAGAAAGTCCACCAAGGCTTTATAGGAACCGTACTACGCAAGGTCCCAGAAGCCCAGTCTGCTAACACTCATGATTGTTCTAGCCCTTAAGCTGCCTCTACAGAGGACATGCTCTCTGCCGTGCAATTTATCTGTGACCCTAGAGAATAATGGACAAGGAAGAACCTCCCAGAAGGCGGAGCTAGGGCCTGTAGAGAACAATGGATAAGACATTTGTCCTCAAGACCAAAAACCACATAGGCATCATTGAGAGGCTCAACTGACAATCTATGTGAAAATGCTCTGCAAGTAACCACCATCTTATACAAAAAGAAAAGAAGAAAAAAATCATCGCGTAAAAAATTAGACTATCCTAAAGCACATAAAATGTTTTTAAAAACTATAAAAAAGGGGCACCTGGGTGGCTCAGTCGGTTGAACGTCTGACTTGGGCCCAGGTCATAATCCCACGCTTCGTGGGTTCTGGCCCCACGTAGGGCTCCGTACTGACAGGCTCGGAGCCCCAGAGCCTGCTTCGGATTCTGTGTCTCCCTCTCTCCCTTCCCCTCCCCCGCTCACACTCTGTCTCCCAAAATAAATAAACGTTTAAAAAATTATTTAAAAAACTAAAATAAAGATACCAAAGTTTGAAGGAAATTTGCAGTTTATTGCATTTTTCATTCAGACCACTTTCCTCTACTGCAGAGATTCCAGAAACATGAAGAGAGAAGGTAGCTATTTTTCTTTCCTTTGGCCTTCCAACAAAATTTACGAATGTCAGACTTAAGAGTCAGGCCAGCGGTCAGACTGTTGAACATTCCAAAAATACTTTCATACTTAACCTTGGCCCTGAAGACACCTAAAGAATAATGCAGATAAACTTATATCCATAAGTATGCATAATAAACTCTGTGAAATTACTAGTACAAATCTTTTTAAAAAAAACAGCACATTATAGAAACATGAAAATCAGCACTGAGACCTAAACCAACAGATATCACCACCATTAATTAAGAAATTACTACATGCCAGGCACTATTTATGATTTAATTAAAACCACTTACTGCAGTAGTATTAACTTCATTTTGCAGATGAGAAAAATGATGTTCAGACATGCTAATTAGGTAAAAGTAGTTTTTAAGAAAAAGAAAAGTCATCTTCCCATTTCTCCTACCAGTTCCCCTGCTCCTCTCATAACACACACACACACACACACACACACACACACACACACACACACGTGCCTGGAGCTCCTTGAGAGCAGGATCATGGTTTATTTATCTTTGGACTTTGGATATCTAGCAAACTAGCCTGGAAACGTTGACTGAATCTTTTTAAGCTGTACAATCAAATAAATTTCAAATCTGCATAAACAAAAACTTCGTAATGTTGTTTCTCCGCGAATTATACAAATATATACGTTAAAACTTTGAAATTAATTTAAATGCCTAGCCGTTTCAACAAATAATTGCTTCTGTCCAAGCGCAACCTTCGCTCACCTGCGTCATGAAGTGCGGTTCTCCCCTGCAGGTCTACATGCTCAGTGGGACAATTGTACTGTTAAAACACAGAAACTCAGTCATCTGGGAGAGTTTTACTTTACAGTTAAATATCTAGAATCAAATGAACAGCTGTTATTTAATCTTAAAATATTCCATTTATCAAAAAAAAACTAAACGTCTACTAGACAAGCCACTAAATATTTTGACATGAAACAAATAACATTATACTGTAAAGTTGAGTTTTTCACCAAACAGGAAAACATATGGTACATTATAATAGCATGGGATGCAGAGACTGTTATTGTTTGGGTGTTTTTCTCACCAAGAGTTAAAATTTGAACTGAATCAGGAAAAACAAAGGAGGTCTGCTGTGAAACTTCGTGGCAACAACATTTATGGAAATGTATGGTGGGACCCTTTCCCACTAGTTCAAGGAATTCTGTGACTGCTTGACTACAAGTTTAACTAATGGCATTCATATCATATAGTCTAAGTGCCTGATGTTTATATAGAAATATATAGAGCCTATGTTGTATCACTTTATGTCACAGCCCAGACAACAGAAAACTCCAGTCTCCAGCTAATGTCAACAGGAAGGTCAAGCCTTTGTTATTTATTTTTAATACACCGAGTTATGCGATTCACTTCCCTCAGAGTTTCTGCTCTTTATTGTTCACATTCTTTCACAAACGATGGGAAAGATATTACGTAAGTCAAAATTAGCCCACTATTTTCTTTGATCTCAAATTCCAAAAACACATTGAAAACACGTCTATTATTTGTAGTCAAAATAATAAAGCTGAAGTATTAACCACTTTTACTACCTGTAGAAGTTTTTGTAGACACAATGCATGCCCATACTTTGCAGCCAGGTGAAGAGCATTTCTTCCTAGAAAAGAAATAATTAAAGACATCCACGAAGGGTTATTTCCTTCACGCGTGAATTTTCCAAAGAAATGGGACTCATTTTTCCAACATTAGTTGACAGGACACTTAACTTATCAGCACGCTTTCACTCAGGTTGATATTTTAATAAGAGATACTATACACACCAACACAATGAAGGGGGTAAGAAAAATTAAACATATAAATCCATAAAGAGCAAGAACTTTGCCATAGTCATCACTGTATCTCCAATATCCACAGTAGTGCCTGAGACAGAGTAAGTTCAGTCGGCACAGGAAAGAAGGGAGGGAGGGAGAGGAAGAGAAAGAGAAAAAGAGAATGGGGACAGGAGAGTGAGAAACATACCTAGATTTCTCATAATAATTCCAAACAGGCAGTGTGGACACTAAAGTGCAAGACGTTAAGAGACCTAAATGAAAGAAACTAATTTTCAACTAAAATTCAAAGTTCATTAGGACTGTGTCTCTGAAAATAAGACAACTTGTTCAAATATAATGTGTATTAAATGTGAAAATTTAGGGGTGCCTAGTGGCTCAGTTGGTTAAGTGTCCGACTCGTGATCTCAGGTCATGATCTCGCGGTTTGGGAGATCAAGCCCCACATCGGGCTCTGCGCTAACAGCGTGGAGCCTGCTTGGGATTCTCTCTCTCTCACTCTCTCTGCCCTTCCTGCTCTCTCTCCTTCTCTCTCTCAGATACACAAATTTTTTTTTAAATGTGCAATTTTAAAGGAAATTATCATCTGAAAGATTAACTCTGAATACTGATCCAGAACAAATTAGCAGTGAGTCCGGGTCTTTAAACGGGTACAGGTACAACATACTCATCTATACCTAAATATCCTCGAATTACAAATAAGACAGATGTGATGATTTCAAATTTCAATTTGTTACTGTTCATGGACAAGTTTCCCAGAGCTTTTACACTGTGAAAATTGACAAGAAAAACTGTCACATTTACATGGAAAGTAAGAGAGAGTATGGAGTGGGACGGTGGGGGAAGGCACAGTGGTGACAGTCCCTGGTACTCAACAAACTGCCAAAGAAACTTGACCAGATAAAAATGTCAGGTAGGTATTTCCTTAGCCAAATCCAAATCCAGCCACTTGAGAGGACAGAGTAAAGAAATTAAGGAAACATCAAAATCTAAAGCACAACACTATGAATTACACCCAACACTATGAATGACACTATGAATGCCTACCTGGTAAGACCTGGGTCACAAATACCTCAAAACCCAAACCACACTAACTTGAAATCTGGTTCTCTTTCACCTACGTTTGTACTGGTAACAAATCAAGGAGTTAAGATAAAATACATACCATTTTTTAATTGAATTGTTATCCAATATCCACATCTGGACTACAACTGACAATGTGACAGCAAATGAGACAAGGTCCTTGCCCTGAGGACAGGACAACTCGATGGAGAAAAATACTAAACCAAAGTAAATAAAAGTATAACTGGACAACAGCAAAAACAAAAGACAAAGAGTTGAAGCTGAGTAGGCTGGAATGCTGCACATGAGATGATGTCTGCTGAGCCTGGGAAAGCATCTGAACCTATCTTCTCTGAAGGCGGGAGGGCAAAAGTCACTAGATCGGCCACTAGGCAAAAATACCCAGAGCGGAAAGAACACAGACAATACATAAGATGCTTGTTTGAATGAGAATCAGCACAATATCTAAATAAAGTCTAAAGAGTTCTAAAGAGATACACGGTTAGTCCGAAATTTCTAAAGCTAAATATTCCTCGACACCAATGGAATGCTTTTGGAAATAATTAACGTATTCTTCTGTTCGTTCAGAGGTGGCAGATAAATAGTTTGTTCTTCGATTTGGAAGCTGACACATCTTTAGGTGAAGATCTTCCTCGCTAACTCACTGAGATCTCTCTATCCCTCTGCCTCCCTTCCATTTCTAAACACGATGCTGGTTTAACTGTAACGTATTTATTTGTCTATCTACGGAACCACAGGATAAAATATGAAAGTTGTTAAGGATATTCTCTGTTCTAGGTCACCTCCTATATTTATTGAATAACAAAGTAGAACTGCAGAGAAATAAGCTGTCGAGAGAACGGAGAGCGATCATCCTGAGAAAACCAGCGTGCGCATCGAAGAAAGACAATGGCTATCTTCACATGCTTAAAGGTCTATCCTGTGATGTGCAGACAAACTTAGGCTGTACGAGTTTGAAAGACAGACATGGGTACGACTACATGTAAGCAGAAGGCACAGAAAGAACCAGACTTCAAACTGTCTACAAAAAAATTTTTTTTCTAAATGTAGCTAACCAAATACAGCACAGGCTTCCTTGCACGGCATAATGGTGAAAAGCAGACTCCGGTCACAGCTCATCCATTGAAGGACCCTGGGCAAGTCAGTGAATGGCTCAGTGCCTCACAGCCTCCCTGGGATGGTGTGAGGACAGAATGAGCTGGCACGTGTTCGTGTGCTCAGCAGAGTAGCAGGTGATGTGAGTGGCAGCTCCCCTTGTTATGATCATTAGTGGTAATGCTGTTGTTGTCACGAGGCCGTTAGTTCCCCGTCACGAGAAATGTTCAACCCAATGCTGAACCACCGTATGACAGCAAGAATTCATATACTCGAGGCGACAGGAACAGAATCTAAATGGCCCCTAAAGGTCCTTCAAAACCTGAAATTTTAGGATTCGGGAACACTACCAAGACCAGCACTTGACTTCAGTTCAGCAACCCTGTCTCCGCACTTCCCTGTACTTCACCTCTTCCCATCGACGATACCTCAGAAGTAAACTTTTTCTTAACTATTTAAAAAGAGAAAATGAAGGACTTCTCTTTTTAAGTCACGTTCGGGTCTGATTCAGAACATCAGCAGTGGACAAGGCTTGTCCTCTCTTTTTGTTGCACAACTGACTATGGAGGCAAACCCACCTGCAGTGTCAGTGGCTGTAATATCAACTCCATGGATAAGGATGGCATTCAAACATTCAAGATTCCCTTTTGAGGCCACAACATGGAAGCTAAACAAAAAGAAAATATTTGTTATGCACAGAAACTACTAAATGTCAACTTAAATGTTACATCAACGTCACCTTTTATTCAACACACACACACACACACACACACACACACACACACGTTTTAAAGGCTACATTAAAACACCTATATATTTTACGTCAGAAAAAGAAACCTATCACTTATTACTGAAAAACTAATTTTAACCCAAATTTACATAAGGAGCCAAAACGTCCTAGAAATAGCTCCTTGGAACCAATGGAATATTCCAATGTTCAACAGTCTTAATAATAGAAAATGTATACAATAATACCGCTAACTCTACAGTTTTTTATTCAGTAGCGAAGGCACTGGTGCTAGAAGTCTGATACATGCACGGAAATTTTTCTATCAGATTATTTTGCTTAGTTTCAAATATACTGAAACTGCCAAGACAACTCAAGTTATCGCAGAATGCTAAGGCCAAAGACAATCAAAACACTTAATCCTTCTCTTTACAATTATCAAATTAAACCTTGCAGAGAAAAGCCTGCAGGACAACAAACTAAGCAACGCTTGGAAAGCCATAAAAGTCATCTTCCCCAAAAGTACCAACAACTACCACCCATCCTTCCTTTTGTTCACAGACCTGTATGACTGGGCAAAGTTTCACACAAACAGGCATAACGGCACAAGCTTCCTAATAAGGCAAGTAAAGGCTGCTTTAAAAACTTACTTTAGATCATCAAGTATTCCAGATACAGTGGGAAATATCCCATTGTTTCTTTGATCATCTAACACTTTATTAACCAACCAACCTGTACAAAAATCTTTGGGCCGCAGTAAGAACAGACAGCGACTGATTGACTATACTCCACCTAATCCAAACTGGTAGGTAAACACAATAGGGCTTGCTAGCAAAGGATGTTGAAATCGGGTCAACATAGAACTGAACCCTAAATAAGGACAATAACCACCGTGAAGATGCCAGGAGATAAGGCTGTGCAAGCTCTCTGCCAGGTGCCTGGATACAGACAAACTCTGAACATGCTCTCAAAAGGCGTCTTCCATAACCACGTCATCTAAAATGGCTATGATTCCCCATTCCCTGAAGCCTTAGTATGCCTACTTCCCCAATCCCTGCCTTTATTCTATGGAGAACTACGTATTATCGAATACACAAATTCAAGATTTATTTTCTTTACAGTCTTTCTTTATAATCTGTCACTCTCCTCCTGCTCAAGTATAAACTCAACAAAAGCAGGGATTTTTGTCTGTTTTGCTTCCTATTACATTCCCCAGACCAATTTAAGTACCAGACAGATGACAGGCCCTCAAATACTTGAATAATTAAATGCCTGGAGTTGCGCTTGGGTGGCTCGGTTGGTTAAGCAACCAACTCTTGATTTCAGCTCAGGTCATGATCTCACAGTTCACGAGTTCGAGCCCTGTATTAGGCTCTGCACTTTGGGGACTCTCTCTCTCTGTCTCTCTCTCTCACTCGCTCTCACTCTCGCTCTCTGCCCCTTCCCCACTCATGCTGTCTCTCTCTTAAATAAACAAACTTAAAAAAAAAATAAATGCTCAGAGACAAAATCTGGAGATAGGTTGCAAATTCACTTCCAGATATTACAACACTCTGTCATGTGTCTCGACTAGTATTATTATGATGGATGTAAATGCAAACCAGACACCAAGCACTAGTAAGTAAAATAAAGGAGGTTTGTGTACAATTTGAATTCGAGAGACAGAGATATTTCTGATTAAAGGAATATGGTGTTCACAGGAATCAGATAAGTTCTCCTTACAGTGGAATTAAATTCCACTATAAATCTGTAAGATTATAAATCTCTTTTCAATACCAAAGTAGGGAATTATACCGTGCAATGCACCATTAGAACCTTTTGAGGAACGGTAATTTCCTTCAAGCAAACATTTTTAGTCTCCCAACAATCTTGGAGGGAACATTTTTTTTGTTTGTTTTCCTTTCTTAGCTCAAAAATTTGGAAGACTTCTTTCTTCAAAATAAATCAACTGGGGCGCCTGGGTGGCTCAGTCGGTTAAGCGTCCAACTCTTCATCTCGGCTCAGGTCATGATCTCATGGTTCATGAGTTTCCGAGGCCTGTGTTGGGCTCTGCCTGTTTGGGATTCTCTCTCTCCCTCTCTCTCTCTCCCCTGCTCACTCGCTCTCTCTCTTTCTCTCTCTCTCTCAAAATAAATAAATAAACTTAAAAAAAAAAAAAGGCAAAACAGATCAACATTACACTGATGATGTACCAAAGGGCAGAATTCACAACAAATCTACAATGCATTATTAATGCAGATGTGCTATAAATAGCACACTTCAGAAAGAAGACATATCGATCACTAACTTGTATACAAAGAGTCATAAAGGAAATCTGAAAAATTAGTTTGTAGAAATACTCTTTTTCAATATAAAAAAATCAACTTTAAGCTGTCTTTTTTTATTTATTTATTTTTTCAGTGTTTATTTTTTGAGAGAGACAGAGAGACAGAGCAGGGTAGGGGCAGAAAGACACAGAATCCAAAGACACAGAATCCAAAGCAGGCTCCAGGCTCTGAGCTGTCAGTACAGAGCCCGATATGGGGCTCGAACTCACAAATCGTGAGATCTTGACCTGAGCCCAAGTTGGAGGCTTAACCAACTGAGCCACCCAGGTGTCCCAGAAGCTGTCTTTTTAAAAACAAGACCTGTATTTGTGTTTCCACAACAGGAAACCCAGGTAATACGGGACAATGGGAAAAACCACATAAACCGTACGACATCTGTGTGAGGGCATCAGTAAGCTAACAAGATAGTGAAAAATATCTAGACCAGGATGCAGGGAAGGAGAGAGGCCCAGAGAGGTGAGGGTGGTATCTGAAGCCATTTTTTGCCAAGGAGCATTTACTGATTCCAGAGAAAACAGCTGGGAGCCAAACAAACGTCACTTCTGACAGCCTCAGGGGACAGAGGGACAGGAATTGGTATGTGACTTTCCAAGTGGCAGTGGGGATTTCCGGTGACTCTGTCCCATTTTGCTTTGGCAATGGGCTGAACCCTAGGAGAGAGGTGAACAGGAAGAAAACAAGTCCTTGCAGTGACTATGGCTAGGCTTCAAATATTTCATTTCTGAAACTGGACTGAGGTCAAGAAGCACAGGTTACTTTGGTCTTAAATTTCAAAATTAAAAACAAAAAAAACCAAGTCATTCAAAACGAACTCACTTTTGTAATTACATAATATACAGAAAGCATATTTGTAACATGTCCTATACACAAAATGCTTTTGGAAGCATACAGTTTATATGCAATTTAGGAAGAATACAGTTTGTGTGCAAGGAGCAAAAGGAAAATATTTTATCCCATGAATCCTAAAAGACTTCTATTTCCTGCAGTGAAAACCTTAGAGACTAGAACTACTCACATATTTCACAAACTAAAGTTCATAGTCCATCAAATTACACCAGATTTTTATAACTCTGACCATCAATACAAATAATTTCACTCCAAACTGAACCTCAGATTTAAAAGACATTAACAGAAACTGAAGCAATCATTCATTCAAAACATCCAAAGCATGGATAGGCAGAACTGAAGAAATCAGGTTTCACTGAAGATGTTCATCCCAAAGATTTCCTGTATCTTCTAACATGTTGGCATTTGGGAAAAAAGAAACACGAAAAACCAAGTCGCTTCTAGATGTTAAATTTTTACTGTTTATACTGTGAGCCCTAAAAATAGCTTAAAATTTAGCGAAAATAGGAGCAGGACTCAAAATAACTAATGTTGTCATAGCTATCAGACTGCCTACTTGATAAAACTGAGACAGCATTTAAAAACTTGGAACTTTTCAAACCTTACTGGTATTAAAAACCAACTTGATTTTTAAGTCGTGCTTTGCTATGTTTCCTGTACTTAAAAATACAAGCATCCTAAAATATTGATCTATATCAAACTTTCACTATCCACTTCCTAATATTCATTTCTATATTTAGTATCTGGTTTCCAGTTATAATATTGTAAATAAACTCATGAAAGACTGGGAGGAATTTTAGGAAATGAGACTTTTCACCTCTAACTTTGGAAGGTTTCCCAGAGGTTTTAACTGCTATAATTATAGAGCATGGTGCTGGACCATACACCTGCCCTTTAACCCAACTGCTCCCACCCTCAACAGGAAGGCAAGTGAAGAAGATTCGGGAGGGGCGGGAGGAAAGATAAGAAGGTCAACAAGCCAGTAGTTGTTCTCGGGGACCCCAAGGCCAAAGGGTGGGATCACTCCCTGGGCCTCCCTAAGACACACTAGTTATTCTGCCTCTTCGGTTCTACACATTCTTGTTTAAAATGATTACCGAATATAAAAACAGATCGGGAGTTGAGAGGAAAAGTCCGTGTAATTACAGAAAACTCTTCCAACACAGAAAACTTGGGTTCACATCCCAGCTCTGTGACTTTTCATGAGTTTAGACCAAGTTATTTAACCTCTGTAGACTTTCTCCTACTGCTTTCAGAGGGCCGCTGCAAGGATCAAACGGGATAAGGAATATGAAAAAGGTGATACACAGAAATGCACCAAACAACCCAGGCTACGGTTTGCCATAGAGCCTAAACAACTAGACCACTGGGTAGTATTTTAGCATTCTCTGTCTAGCTTGAAAATCTTTCAAATTGAGGACAGTTATTAGTCTATGATGTCTGAAAAGCAACGTGTGAAAGATTGTAGAGCATGGTTTTTGATCAAGGCTTTTTAAATTAATAAGTTGATAGCCACAATTCACAAATTTCACTTGTGTCCCAAGAGCATACCCAAATCCCCTTTGGGGAGTTAGCATCAGTAATACTTACGCAGATCTGCCCTCCACGTCTAGTTTGCCTGGATTGATGCCCTTTTTAGCAAGGATGGAGGAAACTTTTTCTACATCTCCCCTTTCTGCAGCTTTCATCAGTCGGTCATCATATTTATTCCAATCTGCTGCATGCTACAAAAAGAAAAAAAAAAAGTAAACATGGCCTACTCTATATACTATATTAGCAAGACTTTCTAAAGCAGGAAGGAAGAAGAGGGAAGACAATACTGCATAATGTATCACTCAATGTCGAGTCGCATCCCACATTTCCTTCTCCCTGCTATGCCGACTTCACGAGAAGAGCTTCTCCAAACACCTGATATTCAAGAAGCATTTCAAACGACGCTTTTGAGAAAGGGCATGTTTCTCACGTTCTGTTTTCTTCGCCTTCAGAGCCAAGAAAGGAAATTAATAATTGCCCAAGACGTACCCCGTGCCAGGCATGAATTACGCAAACAACCCCCATAAACTAAAATCATCATTCCCATTTCACAAATGAGAGAAGTCAAGGCTCCAGGGACATTGAAAAACATAAGGGGCCAAACCCAACCAAGACTTCTCATGACTTCCAGAATCATGTGTCCTTCTCCTACTCTCTAACTCATACTCTCAGATTTGGCTCTGGTTACCTATCTCCCAAGACCTTAGATGCAGTGGAATTCTGTACACATTTTAAAACACCTCCCTCCCCCCACCTTATTTAAAAGATACTGTTGGGAATATATTTATAAATGCAAATTAGACACACACACACAGACACACACACGTACACTGTCTCTGTCTCAACACAGAAAGCAATTCATTAAGCTTACATATTAGAATAGAAAGAAACTTCTACGTAGAACAAACTTAAAAAGCCTCTAAAGTATTAACTACTTTAAAATCCTAAAATAATAGGATTACAGGTGACTTTCATTTTCTCCCTTCTTTTTTACATTCAACATACAAAAAAGATTTTTTTATATTAACAAAACTCAGTACATATATTTAAGAGGAAGATTAAAGGAAATTTTTTAAATAGGAGTGTGTATCACATGATATACACCTTAATTGTATCAAGGTTATTTTCAGCTTTGGAGAAAATATATTCAAGACATTCCAAGGCCAATAACTTGGATTTTTTTCTTAGTAGGCAGAAATGTAGAACCCAGAACTAAAACATACGTTATTTAAACAAGTAAGGTTTTAGCCTTTTAAAATATTATACAGTAAACTTACTGCTAAATTCTGTACTAAGCCCAGTATTATTTCCAGAACAAAGAAAGATGTACCTATTTTTCACTTAAACTTACAAAACGATTCCTGTGTCCACAAATACCATAACAAATCCCTGAGGGAGAAAAAATGAATCTCTTATATGAAGCATATCCTCTAAATGTTTCATCATTATGATTACTTAATATCACCTATCTCCTTCAAACGGCCACACAAAATCACCAGTCTTCTAGCTAAATAAGCAATGTCTTCCTTACATACTTAAAGAAAGTGAAACTGTATATGAAATTTGAATAGGAGAAAAAGATAAATACATTAAATTTTTAGCCCACTCCTGAAGTGAAATGTTTCAATGGAATCCGGTTCAAGTATCTACACAGACTTCAGAATTGCTGCCTCTAAATCAGTTAAATTTGGAGATGAGCCCACTTCCTCCTAACTTCAAAAGCACAAATTGTCAACTCTGAGACTCGCTCTGTTTATTGGCTCAAGGTCTAAACTACATTTTAGGCACCCCCTTCTTTAGCTTTAAAACAAAACAGTTTACAGACTCTCAACTGGGGAGTGGTAGTAGATGCAGGCTTAAGAGACTTTGTGTTTTCAAATGCCTAAGGGATTAAGTCACGTTTAACACACAAATACTGGCTCTAAATTGATCAGTTTATGCTTGCAGCTAAAACAATCTGTTTTATTTCCAATTAAACTTGCTGCTGGGGAAAAGAGTTATTGAAAACACTGAAAAAAATTGTAAAATCCTAAAGTAAGGCTTTTTAGGAGACAGTTAAACATGACCAAAGTCTCATATTCTCATGTGATTTTTCAGTTCCACTTCACGAAGTGCCATTTCCATTCGGTCCACTGTCAGTTAGCAGAAACACTGCTCAATTATGAAGATTCTATTATGAGCTTCTTAAATCCAGAAAAAGAAACAAGAACTTTTGTTTTCTGTCATTAACCCCACCCTACTAATCAAACAGAAAGATAGTAAACAAGGAGACCAAAATTAATAAAACAGTAGTCCACTTTAAAAGAATACGGTTTGGAAAGCCTAACCAAGAATCTTTTGTTACACTGCGCTACAGGGATACCTACTCTGTTCTTAGGAGCACAAGAAAACCAACAGTTCATCATAGACAGGATTTAGTTTCTTGTTGCCAGCAGCAAACGGCTTCGCCTTAGGTTACGAATCTCTGCAGCTCACAAAGCACGCCCTCAGACAAACTCCTAACCAGTGAATCCGTCCCTCGCTTTACAAGTCTTCCTGCTCTACAATCTTCATGCTGTGCTACACTTAGCTTGGATCTCTAACGATATTTTCTTCGTCTTCGGGATCCTTCTCCGCCTTCATACCGCTTGAAAATTATCTTCCTTGCTGAACAGCACTTGATTGCGAGCGGCCGGAGTCAGGTACCGTAACTCCTCCTGTTTCTTATCGTTTAGACGCTGTCTTTCAAAGCTGTCCCTTTCAGGGACTCTGCTGGAAAACCTGCACAGCACTCTACATCCTGCCTCAACACTGCAACCCAGACGCTGCAGTGCATGATAAAACTGTCCACCTCCGAATCCTCCTGTAAACAAGGGGTAGACGGTCTCCCATTGGTCAGGTTCTATTTTAGATTCCATAGGCCTTGACAGCTGAGTGATAGAAAAGAGCAGCTAAGAATATACTGTAAATGCATGCTTCTCCTCTGAGTAATAAATTTCAGGTCTACTGGGGACAAATGACTCAAACACATTGTAAAACGTGCTTATTATACATCGCGTGACATCATGACAACACTGTTAAGAGACGAATTTGGTTATTCCACAAGACAACATTTGAAACCAGTTTCAGTCTTCAGATCTACCGTGAAGGTATAACAGCCTTGATAAACAGGATATAAAATTCTATTTTAAGCAAATGTGTCACACTTTAATTTAATACACAAACACAGAGCGACGCTTTCAAATTTTCTCCATTTTCCTTCATACCCCTGCCGGGCTTACTCTGCATACAACCAGGTTTCAATTTACAACTGCTGCCAGTCTGTCTCCTAACATGTTAAATGAGAAGAGCAAGAGGCGTTGCCAAGACATTAAATAGACTGCATCATGATGAATACTTTCGACAAATTTTAAATTTAACTCCGTACTCTTCATGTCTAAGTTTAGCACCCTGCCTGATACAACAAGTAAATATTTTACCAGTGGAAAGTCAAATTGTCTGGATTCAGGAATTTTTAAAAAATAGATTAAAAACCTAGCGAGGCAAATAGATATTGAACACTGGGCTAGACAGTAAATAACACTCTATTTGGAGACAAAGCAGACTACTCCTCTACATTCTTTATGACGTTTAACATACTTGTACCAATGTTCCTTACTTTGTCAAGGAAAATAACAAACATCCACAAGTTCCAGGGTGTTGTTTACCGTGTATTACCACACGAGCGTGACAGTTTACGCTTCCTCCAAAAAGACCAATTTGGGAAAACTGTTTCATGGGAATGTAAAACATTCCAACACAAGTGTTTACAAGAAGGAGGTAAGTGCTACATTATAGATCATGCTGCCAGTTAAAAGCTGTTACGAACTTTGGGGTGTCTGGGTGGCTCAGTCGGTTGAGCATCCGACTTTGGTGCAGGTCATGATCTCGCAGTTCATGGGTTCGAGCCCCACATCAGGTTGTGCTGACAGTTCAGAGCCTGGAGCCTGCTTCAGATTCTATGTCTACCTCTCTCTCTCTCTCTCTCTCTCTCTCTCTCTCTCTCTCTGCCCTTCCCCTGCTTGTGCTCTCTCTCTCTCAAAAATAAATTGAGGGGCGCCTGGGTGGCACAGTCGGTTAAGCGGCCGACTTCAGCCAGGTCACAATCTCGCGGTCCGGGAGTTCAAGCCCCACGTCGGGCTCTGGGCTGATGGCTCAGAGCCTGGAGCCTGTTTCCGATTCTGTGTCTCCCTCTCTCTCTGCCCCTCCCCCGTTCATGCTCTGTCTCTCTCTGTCCCAAAAATAAAATAAATAAACGTTGAAAAAAAATTTTTTTTTAATAAATAAATAAATAAATTGAAAAACATTAAAAAAAATTGTTCCGAACTTAAGCAATCCATTTCCTACTAAATTTAAAATATTAGGTGCATATTCTAATTATAAAATACATAAGGTCACACTCCATAATATATTATTTTTGAAACAATTATTTTTTTCCCCAAATCGCATCAGACATCACAATGGATTCTTGGCTTGACACTGAGACTCCACCCACTCTATTTCACCCTTCTTCAGAGGAAATCTGGGATAAAATTCAGGCCCTGTTCTTTGGTTAACAAAGCAAGCACATTCTTTCTAGAAATAGACAGCCAAGGGAAAGGAAATAAAAAGGAGGAAATCTGTAATGAGTAATAAAAGCCATATAAGGAGCTGTTCACACTAAGGCTCAGGAGATGGGATTTATGTGCTCTCCTCCACTGTGGACATCCTGAGCCTCTCCACCCTCTGTCACAATCTCCTGTTCCCACTCTCACACCCTCTTTCCCAGCTATTTCTCAGAAACTCTAAGTCCCACCACTGCTTGTCCCCCGTGCCTGCAGGTTCTTCCCTCACTTTCTCCAATGGCACTTCCTCAGAGGGCTTTTCAAATCTCCAATCTAAACAACCCCAGCTTCACTCTACTCCCGCCACTACTTTTTTTTTAAGTAAGTTCTACACCCAACATGGCGCTTGAACTCACGACCTTGAGATCAAGAGCCGCATGCTCTACCGACGGAGCCAGCCATGCGCCCTTACTCCTACCATTCTTGACCTGCCCTGTTTTACTTTTCTTCATAATAAATACCCATCAGTATCTGCCACTGTATCATATGTTTATTTGTTAGCTTACTGCCTACGTCTGTTTTTGCTTTAAAAAGAATCAAAATAATCCGGGGGCAGGCTGAATTCAACAGCACATTATAAGGATCATGACCATATGGTGTCTATTGCTGAAATGCAAGGATGGTTCAACATATGAAAACTGATCAGTGTAATATACCACATCAACAGAATTAAGGATGAAAATCACATGAGCATCTCAACAGATACAGAAAAAACATCAGGCAAGATTCAAACATCTTTCATGATAAAAACTTCAACAAACTGGAAACAGAAGGAAACTACCTAAGAAGGGTCATATATGAAAAGCACACAGCTGGGGCGCCTGGCTGGCTCAGTCGGTTAAGTGTCCGACTTCAGCTCAGGTCATGATCTCTCGGTCAGTGAGTTTGAGCCCCATATCGGGCTCTGTGCTGACAGCCCAGAGCCTGCTTTGGATTTTCTGTCCTCCTCTCTCTCTGCCCCTCTCCCACTTTGCATGCGTGTGCATTCTCTCTCAAAAATAAACATTAAAAAAATTAAAAAAGAAAGAAAATATTTCCACTTACAATAGCATCCAAAAGAATACAATAATTAAGAATAAGCCTAATCAAGGAAGTGTAAAACCTGTACCCTGAAAACTATAAAACATTGCTGAAAGAAACTAGAGGAGAAACACATATAAATGGAAAAGGCAGTGTTTGTGGCTTGAAAGACTTAATACTGTTAAGACAGCAATACTTCCCAGAGTGATCTACAGATTCAGACAATCCCTATCAAAATTCCAATGGCATTTTTTTTTTCTTGGCAGAAATAGAAAACTCCACCCTAAAATTCGTATTGGATCTCAAAGGCACCCCAACAGCCAAACGACCTCAAAAAAGATCAAACAGCCAAATAATCTTGAAAAAGAAAACCAGAGTTGGAGGTCTCACACTTAATGATTTGAAAACATTTTATGAAACTACAGTAATCAAAACAGCATGGCACTGGCATAAAGACAGACATACAGACCAATGAAATAAGACAGCAAACTACTGAAATGAACACTCACATATGTGGTCAAATGATTTTCAACAAGGGTTCTAAGGCTACTCAAAGGGGAAAGGAGAGTTTCTTCAACAAATGGTGCTAGGGAAACTGGATATACACATGCAAAAGACTGAAGTTGGATCCTTGTATCACACCATATACAAAAATGAATTTTAAATGACTAAGACCTTACATTTAAGATCTGACCACAAAGCTCTTTTTTTAGGGGCACCTGGGTGGCTCAGTCAGTTAAGCGGTTAAGCATCCATCTTCAGCTCAAGTCATGATCTTACCGCTTGTGAGTTCCAGCCCCGCGTCAGGCTCTGAGCTGACAGCTCAGAGTCTGGAGCCTGCTTTGGATTCTGTGTCTCCCTCTCTTTCTGCCCCTCCCCCACTCGTGCTCTGTCTCAAAAATAAACATTTTTTTTAAAAAAAAGTTTTTTTTAAAACAAAATTTATTATTTACTTATTTATTTATTTACTTATTTTTGAGAGAGAAACAGAGCACAAGCAGGGGAGGGGCAGAGAGAGAGAGGGAGCCACAGAATCTGAAGCTGGCTTCAGGCTCTAAGCTGTCAGCACAGAGCCCGACATGGGGCTCAAACCCATGAACAGCAAGATCATAACCTGAGTCGAAGTTGGATGCTCAACTGACTGAGCCACCCAGGTGACCCCTGACTACAAAGCTCTTAAAAGAAATTATAAGAGGGCACCTGAGTGGCTCAGTCGGTTGAGTGTCTGACTCTTGATTTCAACTCAGGTCGTGATCTCAAGGTTGTGAGATCAAGCCCCATGTCAGGTTCCACACTGACAGCACAGAGCTTCCTTGGGATTCTTTCTCCCTCTCTCTCTGTCCCAGCACCCCCCCACACACACACACACACACGTGCACTTTCTCTCTCTCTCTCAAAACAGATAAACTTAAAAAAAAAAGAAAAGAAAAAAAGAAAAGAAAAAAGAAACCACAGGGAGGGAGATTCAGGACACTGGATTTGACAATGATTTCTTAGATATGAAACCAACAGCACAGGCAACAAAAGCAAAAACAGACAAATGCAATTACATTAAACTTAAAAACTTCTGTACATCAAGGGACGCAATCAATAGAGTGCAAGGGCAACCTATGGAATGGGAGAAGATTTTTGCCAATTACATATTAGATTTTTATATTTACATATTAGATACAGGGCTAATATGCACAATATATGAAGAACTCCTACAACTCAGTAACAAACAAATAACCCAACTAAAAATGGGCAAATGACTTGAACAGACCTTTCTCCAAGGATAATACACACATGACCAACAAGCACATTAAAATGATGCTCAACATGATTAATCATTAGAGAAATGCAAATCAAAATCATCATAAGGTGGGGCGCCTGGGTGGCGCAGTCGGTTAAGCGTCCGACTTCAGCCAGGTCATGATCTCGCGGTCCGGGAGTTCGAGCCCCGCGTCGGGCTCTGGGCTGATGGCTCAGAGCCTGGAGCCTGCTTCCGATTCTGTGCCTCCCTCTCTCTCTGCCCCTCCCCCGTTCATGCTCTGTCTCTCTCTGTCCCAAAAATAAATAAATGTTGAAAAAAAATTTAAAAAAAAATCATCATAAGGTATCACTTCACATTCATTAGAATGACTAGAATAAAAAAAAAAAAAAAACAGGAAATAGTAAGTGTTAGCAAGGATGTGGAGAAAATGGAACCTTTATGTGCTGTTGGTGGG